GAATTGCATCTGTATTTATAGTAGGGTTTTGATATTGAGATAGTGATGAATTACAATCGCTATCATTTTATTTTTGAACCCCCTGTCGGTATAAGAAATTTCCGAAGGAGTGGTAATTTTACCACAATATATATACAAATTAAATATAGAAAGCCACGAAGCATCCCGGTCTGTAGGCTATTATATGGTAAAAAAAGATTAAAGTATATTAACTCCTACAATAGATAACATCTGGCGCCATGCATGCCATTTTATATAACAATTTGGCATGTGTTTTGTTGTGTTTCCTTATCTTGGGCTAACGAAATCCTCTTTCCAAGCCAGAAATATGGATTGGTGTTGGTCATTGCTCTTTAGTATTTTTGGTTGTAGGCTAACGCACTAAAAGAATCTTTTTTCTTTTATTAAAATAGCCATAATAGAAATCGATATAGCTGCAATAACATGTTTTATCGATAAGATTTTCAATCATATAGCATCTCATTAATCTGCATTTGTCTGGAGGTCTATAAATAGACAACGAAAAATAAGTTACATTTAATTTTGTATGAACACGCCTAGCATTTCAAAGCGGAAAAGTTAGCTGTGCATAATAGCCCAATAGACACCATCTTGTTTAAAGAAGAACTTGTATTCATCCTCTGTGTAGTATATTGTTGGGTTTTTAGATTTATTTTAATTTTCCTGTCATCTACTCTCTTATTCTTTTCTTTCTCCCTTTGCAGAATTGCATCTGTATTTATAGTAGGGTTTTGATCTTGAGATAGCGAATATTTTTCAATCGCTATCTTTTTATGTTTGGATCTTCTGTCAATATGAGAAAATTCTGAAGGTGTGTTAATTTTAACACAGAAACCTTCTGTAAAATCAACTAAATTTATAAAAACTCTTCTAGTTAAAGAAGTGTCTAAGTTTATGCACCTCATGAAGTGGCAGGGTCTGGCTTATATTGGCGTATAAGCTCGTCAAACCTGGCAATAGAGTCTTTACTACAGCATAGCTGGCCTTTTAGATTTGTGAGGGCTTGGGTAATGACCTGCTCATTATAATATATGAAAGTAGATGGAATGTAGTTTGAATTTTGGATGGCGTCAAAGTTTGTCTTAATCAGCTCTATATTTAATCTTTTCTCTAAAATAAGATATATAAACCATGTATAGTGAAGATCACTTATTATCATATCTTTCTTCTCGGGATAGTCTCGTGCTATTGTCTCATCAATTGCATCAGAATACTTCATGCTTTGGTCTTTAAATATATATTCGTAAATATCATAAACTACTGAAACGCCTAATAATAATTCATAAACTCCCTTCTCATTATATGAATCAAAGTTTTCTATGCAGTATTTAATCCATACAATGAAAATGGATATATCACAATCTAGCACATACTTAATAAAATTATAATACTTTATGTATTTCATGATGCTTTCATGCCTTTCCTTTGAAAGATTTATATTCGGGTAGCTGCGGCTGCTTCCGCTTTTATTAAGCAGGCCTGCGCATATAATCGACGGAAGCAGCTGCCATTGCATTTCCCAGTTATCTAGCTCTGTGCTTCCTATTATGTTGGAGGTAAAACGAACAATGGGATGCTCAGGAGATAGCTTTTGGTCCATGGTATAGACGATAGAACAGGCAACTAATTTCGCCTTATAGTCTAAATCATTGATCTTTTGTATGAGCAGCAGTCTATTTATGTCGGTGAAGTTGTTTTCAATGGTCTTGCGCACCTGTGCCTTCATAAAGTAATCACTATCCTTAGAAGTATCAATTTTTCTTGTTTCATAGTCAATATATACAGAAAACAGATTTTCAATAAATTCTGTCCCACTTTTACAGATGCCTGCAATTTCATTCAATTTCTCTATTCGATCGTCCTCGAAGTCCATAACAACAGACTCCATTTCAATAGCACTATGGCCTTTAGATATTCCCAGGACTATTTCATTCCTGATGCCATCTTGCTCAAATAAAATAGCAATCTTTCCATATACATCGTATCTTCCATTAATACACCTATTAATTTTAAGCTGAGAAAACTCTATTTCTACATTTTCTGTCTTGGATAGGCGTTTAAGTAGTGTTTTTGTGTACTTTTGAATATCCTTCGAAAGACTATTCTCTAACACCCCCTCTTCCTCCTTTAACCTCTCTGAAAAGCCAAATACTTTGTCTTTTTCTTCTTCAGAAATATTTACTACTTCAGCAATAACCATGAGCATGTTTATGATTCCACAGTCTAGCTCATTTCTATCCCTGCAGTATGCAATTCTAGGCTCTTCCAAGCACGCAACAACTCTGCACCAGTTCTTCTGAAAGTTGGCCTTTTTTGTGTCAAATGACTTGTTCTCTTCTGAGGCGAAGAATTCTTTAAGCTCTTTAGAGACATTCCCCATGTGGTCTGTCCGATAAATTTTCTCTGCTGGGTCATATGCCAGGCAGCAGAAGAGGGAGAGAATCATGCACTCCACACAGTTGCTGTAGTCTTTCAAATGGTTAGTAGAAAACTCTTTTGTTGTCGGGTCGCGCCAAGGGACAGATGTGTATCTAGGAATCTGCGTGCTGTCTGCAAATGGAAATACCCCATATGTATTTAAGATCTTTTGTGTTTTCTTCATTAGAGCCATGCAGTCAGAACCTGCTTCAGTCCCAGCTGGTTTAAAAAGCCTGTCGTATACAGAGTCATTTTTACTTGGAGCCTCTGTCTTTGGTGCATATTTTTCTGTCATAGTGTGCACAGTCTGGATAAATTCTGTTGCACGCTCTGCGGTGCTAATAAACCTGAATATGTACGACTGGATCAGAAACTTTGGACTGTCTAAGAACTTTCCTGTAGCAAACTCATCGTATGAGCACTTGTCCACCATCATGCTAAGTACTTCCTGATTGGTTGCATACTTCTGGAAGAATTTGATCATTTGCTTAACTTTCTTTTGTTCAAACCTTTTTGTTTCATTTGTTTCTCTATTCAACCATGGGATGATCATGTCCACTTCAAAGTATATTTTGTCTTTTTTATCTGTTTCATACACCTTCAGCTTCTTGTTGTTGACATCAATGGGAATATGCACTCCCTCTGAGAAAAGGAGTAGCATAGCAAGAATCTGCAATGCATGTTTCTCTGTTGTCTTAGCCCGAAGGAACTGAATGAAGGACTGGTTACTTCGTGCCTCAATGGTTATGTCACCCGTTGGGGATGGAAACAGCTCAATCAGATGATTATGGTACTTTTCAAAAAATACATCCATTTTACTAGTGGGTAGTGCTTTGTGCGCTCTGTCCATCTGTCTATCTCGATTGTATTTATATTCTTCATAGCCCTCATCTATAGATTCTTTTTTTAATTCATACTTTGTACTAATCTGCGGAGCAAAAAATCTTTTATTGTACATGCACTCCATCTTCTGATAGATGTATCCGCGGAAGAAGTTGAGAGGGCCATTCGGATTTATCTTCACTAGCGATGCACCTGCTGCAACTCCAAATTCCAGAGTTAACTCTATTTCGCTTAGTGATATATCCGCTCTATGCGTGCTCATTATTAGAACACTGATTAAGAAAACTACCTTAATCCAAATAATGTAAGGGTGTATTTTCATTAAATAAAATAAATCATTTTCAATATATAGTGATAGATAAATTCAGAAGACTTTATAGGCCACTTCTATTAGTTTTCGGGTTATATACGTTGATCAATAACCTTCATTAGGTATTATTGCACGACGCAGTATTTATGTATGCATGGTTAATATATTAATGCGCTCAGAGACGAATGATATTCTAACTAATAGACTGCGTACCATGCGGTAGAAGTGGCATATCCTGGAAATAGCATGCCTCTATGAATAACATCTGTTGCCATGTAAAGAACTTTTATTATTGTAGTAAAAATATTTTAAGCTAGCTCTCTTGTTTAGTTGCTTAGAGTTAGTCTTGTGTGACAGCCAGCATTAACTGAGCGGACTAAAACTAGCGGTAGTGTATTTTTGGTGAAGTATCCAAAAGCCTATGCATGATAGAAAGAAAAGACTAGCTTGTAAGACGCAGGCTTTACTAAGTGCATGGGAAGATATTTATGTATTCAATAGGGTATTTCATGCTAAATTCTGTGTGTATTGGTTGAATGTGCAGGTGCATACATAGCCTGAATATATCATGTCATTTCAAGTTCAGCTGATGTTTTTGTATTCAGCCTATGTGTATAGTATAATGCAGAATACAGGCTAGTGTGCTGTGCGTAAAAGAGTGTGTCTTTTTAGATGACAATAAATGTTCGTTTCGTTCTCTATTTACCTGTAGTGTGATATTCTTTCTATTTTCTTCTTGTTTTTCTCTTCATTTCCGACAAATGATGGTTCTCTGTGATGTGCTACTTTTCTTCTTTTCCCTACCTCTCATGCTTTATTTCTCTTTTTATACCTATGTAAAATAAATTTCTTCAGAGGGCTGTATGTATACTTTATTTTCCCAATATATACAAGAATAAAAATACAAGAAGAACACTGAAAGAGAAGAAAAAGACAAAGTAGGCAGACACACAGAAATGAAAGAATAGGTAGAGAAATAAAGAGTATGAATGTATTGATAGGTATAAGCAGAGTTAGGGCAAGTAGAAGGTCTATTTAGTGAAATATAGAGACATAGTATAGTTTATAGCAAATATACTAGCCAGAAAGTGCAGTTGACATATAAGGCATATGTCTATGACTGAATGGTTTGTTGGATGTGGATAGACTTATGGCACCGAAAATAGCTGCTATATAATGCATATATACACCTGCATAGAAAAGTGACTCTGCATAGTCATGCACAGGCCAGGGCAGTATTAGAGAGTGTAAAGGCCAACCAAGGCAGCACAGCCATGATTGGCCAAGTGAGTATATAGTAGAGTAGAAAGGGCTGTGTGCAAATACAAGAGATCAGCAGAAGGATAGTCTCAGTATAGCACACTCTGCTGTCTACCCTGCAGTGTATTTATTAAACCCAATATACCCCGAATAACCCGAATAATGATAAAACTTACAGGAATGGATTATAATAAATATAAGGAAGAAATACAGGGATATAGAGACAGGCTGCAAGACCCAAAGTTGATGCGTAATGATGACCTAGTAAAGTCTCTTGAGTCTGAAATTGCAAACTATGCAGAAGAGATATTTTCTCAGATGGGAAAAGAATTCTTAAGTGATGAAACACCAGCAGATGAGGGCTTAGTGTCTTCTACACCTTCTAAAAATGAGAGGGAAATATATGTGTTTTTCAAGAAGTATAATACTCAGATGGTGAGTGATAAAAACCATTTGGATGAGTATATAATTATTCATTATGCCACAGAAGATAGAGCTGAGCCAATAATTATTTGTTCTATGCGACCAGAAAAAGTTTATTTAGGAATTGGCAAGTGTTTTATAATATTAGACATTCCGAAAGACAGCTATACTATGTATGTTCTTTCTAAATATGCAGAAACCATAAATTTATAGGGTTCAAAAGACATAGCAATTGATACGTTCTATATAGACAAAATAAAACAGCTGGTATAGCCTGAAGTTCTAATTGTTGTATGCTCTACGTAGCACCTAAAGACATGCATGGCATTAGCAACACCACCATTGGTGTTTGTTGGCACCCCATATCATCAATTAATTAGTTTGCTTGTTTTGATAAATCTCAAGATTAAATTAAACCCAAGCTATTTAAAGACTTGAGTTTTTGAATAAATACTAAATTTTAACAATAGTCTCTTTTAAGAAAACAGGACCTGATTTTTCCCCCTCAAAGTGTTAGACTTTGCCATGCAAACTAAAAAAAATATTTCTTATTCTCTATTTATAGACCTCCCCCAATAGCTATATTTTATGGAGACAATTAGACATCCTCTTACCAGCTAATAAAGGGTCCTAGAGTCTGAGCCAGTCTAGCGGGCGTGTAAACAAGTAGAGCCCCTTGTAGCGTGTTGGCCTAACCAAAGCCCGGGAGGCAATGTCCAACACTAATCTACATTACTGGTCTGGGAAGAGGATTTCATGCCCTCAAGGCAAGGAAAACAAATAATTATACAGATAGTTTTGCTATACATAGCCATACTGTTAGCTGTTCACTATATGTTTGCTAAGTATAAAATATTTTAATTCTAGCTGTTTTATGTGAAGAAGCTTTGCACAAAGTACTTTAGCTTTAATTCTTTAGAAATAATAGAGAAAAAGCTTTTATTGCAATTTATAAAACTCTTCTAGTCAAAGAAGTGTCTAAGTTTGTGCATCTCATGGAGTGGTAGAATCTGGCTTATATCGGCGTATAAGCTCGTCAAACTTGGCAATAGAGTCTTCACTAGTGCATAGCTGGTCCTTTAGCTCTGTGAGGGCTTGGGTAATTTTCTCTTTATCATTATAATGTCTGAAATTATTCGGAATATGGTTTGGATTCTGGATAGCGTCAAAGTTAGCCTTAACCAACTCTATATTCGGGTTTTTCTGTGAAATAAGATACATGAACCATGTATAGTGAAGATCACTTATCATCATATCTTTCTCTTCAGGATAGCCTTGTACTATAACCTCATCAACTGCATTAGCATACTCCATGTTGTTGTCTTTAAATATATATTCGGCAACAGAAATAGCCACCCAAAAGTCTGATAATCCACACACGCCTTTCGGATTATATAGACTAAAGTTGCCTATGCAGTATTTAATCCATACAATGAAAATGGATATATCGCAATCTAGCACATAAATAATAAAACTATAATCCTTTATGTATTCCAGGACAGTTTTATACCTTTCCTTTGAAAGATTTATATTCGGGTAGCTGAGACTTTTGCTGTTTTTATTAAGCAGGCCTGCGCATATAATCGACGGAAGCATCTTCAATTGCATTTCCTGGTTATCTAGCTCTGTGCTTCCTAATATGTTGGAGGTAAACCGAACAATGGGATGCTCAGGAGATAGCTCTTGATTCATACTGTACACAATAGAACAGGTAACTAATTTCTTCTTATAGTCTAAGTCATTGATCTTTTGTATGAGCAGAAGCCTATTTATGTCTGCGAAGTTGTTCTCAATGGTCTTGCGCACCTGTGCCTTCATAAAGTAATCAGCGCCCCCATAAATAACAATTTTTCTTACTTCATAGCCAACATATGTAGAAAATAGATTTCCAACAAATACAGACGTGTTTTTACAGATGTCTGCAATTTCATTCAATTTCTCTATTCGATCGTCCTTGAGGTCCATAGCAACAGGCTGCATATTAATAGTACTATGGTCTTCAGATATCCCCAAGACTATCGTGTTCTTGATACCATCTTGCTTAAATACCATAGTAATCCTTCCATATACATCGTATCTTCCATTAATACGCCTATTACTTTTAAGCTCAGAAAGCTCTATTTCTACAGTTTCTGTCTTGGATAGGCGTTTAAGTAGCATCTTTGTGTACTCTTGAATATCATCCCACAATATATCATCCAATTCTTCTTTTTTCTCCTTTAAACTCTGTTCAAAGCCAAGTATTTTCTCCTTTTCTTCTTTAGAAATATTTACTATTTCAGCAATAACCATAAGCATATTTATAATACCACAGTCTAGTTCATTTCTATTCTCGCAATATGAAATTCTAGGCTCATCTAAGCACGCAACAACTTTGCACCACCTTATCTGGAGCTCCGCCTTTGTTGTGTCAAATGGCTGATTTTCTGGAGAGAAGAATTCTTTCAAACTTTCAGAGACATTCCCCATATGGTCAGTTTTATATGTAAAGTCAGATGGGTCATAGGCCAGGCAGCAGAAGAGGGAGAGAATCATGCACTCAACGCAGTTGCTGTAGTTTTGCAAACGGTTAGTAGAAAACTCTTTTGTTGTCGGGTCGCGCCATGGGACAGATGTGTATGAAGGAATCTGCGTGCTGTCTGTAAATGGAAAGACCTGATATGTATTTAAAATATCTTGAGTTTTCTTCATTAGAGCCATGCAGTCTATGTTTGCTGCAGCTCCAGCAGGCTTAAACAGTCTGTCGTATACAGAGTCATCCTTGCTGGGCGCTTCTGTCTTTGATGCATACTTCTCTGTCATAGCGTGCACTGCCTGTATAAACTCAATTGCACGCTCTGCGCTCTCTATGAACCCGAATATGTACGACTGGATCAGAAACTTAGGACTGTCTAAGAACTTTCCAGACATAACCTCCTCTTTCGTACATTTGTCCTCCATCATGCTAAGCACTTCATGTTTGCTTGCATTCTTCTGGAAGAAGCTGACCATTTGCCTAACTTTCTTCTGTTGGAATGTTTGTACTTTGTCTTCCACATGGTTTAGCCATGGGATTTCCATAGGGACTGTGAAGTATATTTCGTTTTTTTTGTTTGTTTCATATACCTTTAGTACACTGTTGGTGACTTCAATAGGAATGTCCACTCCCTCAGAGAAAAGAAGTAGCATGGCCAGAATCTGCAAAGAGTGCTTTTCTGTTGTCTCTGCTCGAAGGAACTGAACAAAGGACTGGTTTCCTCGTGTCTCAATTGTTATGTCACCAGTTGGAGATGGAAACAGCTCAATAAGATGATTGTGATACTTTTCGGTATATGTATCCGTTTTATTAGTCGGGTGTTCTTTGTATGCTTTGTCCTTTTGTTCATTTCGGATGTATGTATAATCTTCATTCTCTTCATTTTTCTTTAAAAGGTACTCTGTCTTAATCTGCGGAGCAAAGAACCTTTTGTTGTACATGCACTCCATTTTCTGGTAGATGTATCCGCGGAGGAAGTTAAGAGGTCCATCCGGATTTATTCTTATAGGTGTTGCATCCGTTGCAATTTCAAACTGCAGAGTGGCCTCCACCTCGTCCAATGTCATGTCTGCTCTGTGCGTGCTCATCAGTAGAACACTGATTAGGGCGACTACCTTGATCCAAATAACGGAAGAACGCATTTTCATTAAATAAAATAAATCATTTTTAATATATAGTAACGGGTAAACACAGAGGGAGTTGTAAGGCATTTTTATTGGCCTTTGGGCTATATAAGTTGATTAATAGTCTTCACTCAATATCACTCAACAAAACATGCATATGCGTATGCTTGCCTCATTGGCTGGTCCAGAAACAAATGATATTCTAACCAGTAGATGGTTTGTCATCTAGGGAGAAGTTGCATGACCTAGGAATAGCACCTATTTCTGTGTGAGGAACTTTTATTATTGTAGTAAAAATATTTTAAGCTGGCTCTCTTGTTTAGTTGTTTAGGGCTGGCCTTGAATCATCTGCTATTTTATACTTGGATTTATATTCGAGCTTCTATGCAAGTTTGGTGCAATAATATAAGCCAAATTGCAGCTGCCAGTTAAATGTATGTGGATGGGTTCTTAGTTTAGTTTCTGGTATATGGCAGAGGTTGGCATTCAACATTAACTTGATGCAATAATGCTAGAATTGGGTGTGTTTTTAATGGAGTTCCCAAGCACTGTAAGTGTGCTATTCTGCAAGCGCCCTTACACTCAGCCTATGTATATAGTATATTGCACACTAATAAGGTGTCTCTATGTATTTCTATGGTGCAGAATACACCCCAGTGTGTTTTGAGTAGGAGACAGTATGTATAGCTGTCAATAAATGCTTGTTTTGTTCTCTATTTGCGTGTAGTGTGTTGCTCTCTCTGTTTCCCCCTTTCTTCTCCCTTTATGTCTGAGCAATAGTGGTTCTCTGTGATGTGTTACTTTTCTTCTTTTCCCTGCCTCTTGTGCTTTATTTCTCTTTTTATACCTATGTAAAATAAACTACTTCACTAGAAGGAATATACACTTTATTTTCCTAATGTATAAGAGAATAAAAATACAAGAAGGCACTAGAAAGAGAAGAAAAGGACAAAGTAGACATATGCACATAAATAAAAGAATAGACAGATAAATAGAGAGTATAGATGTATTAATAGGTATAGACACTGATAGAGCAATAGAAGGGCCCCTTTGGCAAAGTACTACAGATGTGTTAAGAATGCAAGCATATACGGATAACTTGTAAGGAAGGTGAGTAAGCTGGCATATAGTGTAGAAGGAAAGGAAAATAACCCGATTGACCACTCCTCTGGTGTAACCTATATGTACATTATCACTAAACTCTTTGCAATTCTTTAATTTTAATTTTATATTTTTACTAGTTATACCATAGAAATAGCTAGAGATCTAGAAGAGCACAATATTAGGCAAGGAATCTAAATGATGTATAAAGTATATTAGCAGGAAATATGAAAAAAAAGCATGGCGAGCACAAAGAAGTCGAGCAAAGAGTCTATAAAGGAATACGTGATAATAGCCGCTGGTGTGTTATTAATACTGTCAATGGTGCTATACACATGCGTAAGCACATCGCCCAACCGAGACAAATCGCAGGAAGGCACATTAGGTGTAACAAGCGAGCCGGAGACATCTTCTACAGATCCAGAAAATAGCGCAGTGCATGAAAACAAAGAGCCTGATGATGGAGGAAGTAAAGAAGCAGGTGCAGTAATACCAGTTGAGCAATTGGATGATATAATAGGTGCAGAGCATACTTCTACGTCTTTAGACATGTATGCGCAAGATGAATACAGCAATTCTTCTACAAAAGAAGGAAAAAAAGAGATGTCTGATGACATGTATAAAGCGAAGCATGCAGTGATAGTGGCTGAAAAAGAGCACAGTGAGCAAGTAGATATTCTAAACGAGCTGGATAATGCTGCTGATTGTGCACACAAGACCTTTTTGAGAAATGAAGACAAACTAAAAGATGCTAAAGTACAGTGTGATAACTATATAAATACATATAAACAGACTCATGAAAAAATAATGGCTCTAAAAAAAGAAGTTACAGCTTGTTACAAAAACTCAAACAGTATAACCCGAATTCCAGAAGGAGAAGATACTGAATATGACACAGAAATGGAAGAGATTGATCGTCTATATGCAAGGGCGAATCAAATAAACGAGTGTCAAAAAATCAAAGAAAATATATATAATGGAGCTCTTACCTATATGGGAGAGCTAAAACAAAATATGAAAAGATCAAGAAAAAACGCCCTGGAATATTATTTACATAAAAAAGAGGTGGAAGAAAAATTGATCTATAGTATACAATGCTTTTCGGATTTATTTACAACAATTTATGCCAGGGATAAACTGCTGTATTCAGTGAGAAAGAAAGAGGCATTGTATAATAATATAGAGAATGAGGGCAGAGCAAAGCATCTGAAAAATATAATAGAATTACATGAAAAGATTGCTCACAATGTGAATGATGGGATCAATATAATAATTGATATGCATATGGCACAGAAGGATGTTATATATGCTACAAAACAAGTATATAGCGCATATAAAACATATGATGCAGCTGCGTGCAAGTATGAACAGCAACAGAAGTTGAGAAGATATGATTCAAGTGTATCTCAACATCAACCCGAGTTCTGATTTTAGTCTTTTCTCTATATAACAGAAGCTAAGAGGTAAGAAAGACTATGCAGACTGTGCTCAGCAAAGAATACAGCAGTGGTATGTCTAACCAGCCTTATGGGCTAGGAAGCAGAGTTCCTCAGGTCTCTAGGAATTGGAAATATGGAGTGTGTGCTGGCAGTAATTTTGAGCTGTGTGTAGTAATAATTAAACCTCTTATGCTATTTTTATTTTACTTTTACTAAAATTTATTTATGGCCAAGAATTCGAACTAGCTATAGATTATACTTGTAAAGAAGTACGGAGATGCTCTTTGTATGAGTAATGCTAGAACAAGTATTCAAATGATCTATTTTATATAGAGAGATTGCTTAAAGCATAAATGAGAGAAATATGTAAGAATTTGGATTATATAAGGCATAGAGCATAAAAGTGCAGTATATCTTATTACATGCAGCGAAGTTACACTCATTGTGCACGTTTTATTATGTATTTATACAACATCAGAAATGTTATATGTGCAGAAAAATTTCAAAAGAAAAATATTTTAATTTAGATAAGAGCTATGAGATTAGATATAAGGTTAGAGCGTAAAGAAGTAGCAAAAAAAGAATTAAGAATACATAGAATAAAACAAGAGGAAAAGAAAAGAGCTATTCAAAGAGCAAAGTTATACATGCTCATTGGGCTGGCTATACTGCGCCATGTATGGGACAGAATACTGGCCATAGATGAGCTAAGAGGTGTCTATATAAAGGCAGGTACTATTACTGAAGGAAAGACCCGAAATATTATAACAATGCATGTGCTAAAGGAAGAAGCCAGTAATATTGGTCTTATTCACAGCAAGAGATTTTTTTCGCCTGAGATAAAGATAGAGCACTCTATAACAGTTACTAAGAATGACTCTGAAGATAATTCAGAAAAACATGTTCCAAAACACCCGATATACACCTACACACGAAACCAGAGGCAGGACAGGGTGCATCTCATTCTTCCGTATGAAGGGGTGTTGCTCAAGTACAAGCGAGCGTACTTTACCACGCTTCTTGAGCTGTTCCCCTCTATGCACGGGTATGTATCCATATGGTCAGACAGAGAAGACTCTTTTTTTTCTTTTATTAACAGGGTAGATGTAAAAGAGTACAAATATAAAATACTTGCCTCTCTTTTTCTGCTTGCAGAGGGAGTGGATGTACCACTGGAAATTAATAAGAGTGAGAATGGAACAGTGCTGGTTCTAAAGAAGGCAGATGAAGGCGAGCACTTCAGACTCAATATGAATATAGTGGTTAAAACTGGCAAAAATGCAGAGTCTCTAGATGTGTTTAAAAGGGTGCTTCAGAAAAAGGCAATTGATGTGGTAAGGTTTTTTATACAGAATAGAGAAAATAGAGTTTTTACAGAAGAAAAAGACTGTTCCAGTTTTTTTTACTGTAAAGAGCATAGGCAAGTTGATTTTGTAAACAGCCCCGCCTTCCTCATACAGACTTATATACGCCACTGCCTAGAGAGTACAGAGGAGGTAGTTTTATTCAGGAAGATAGTGCATGATCTGCTAAATGAGTATATGGAGCAAGAAGAAAGCTTTGAAGGACCTCTAATCAAGCGTTTTAAGCGTAATCTTATAAGTGAGTATATGGAGCAAGAAGAAGCCTATTTAGAAGATAAGCAGAGAAAACAAGAGCTGGCAGCGCAAGCAAAGGACATGTTTTTTAGATACTTTATATTGGGTAAGCAAATGTCAAATGATGCAAACTACACGAATGTGATACATCCGGCCAAAGAAACAATTTACAAATATTATGTGAATCTCTCAACAGATCTACTGTATCTTGAGCCAGTTGCAGATGTTGTTCCTGTTCCAATAAAGATGAACAGTTTAGTGTCTCTCTGTTTAGGGGCCATGGGACTGCGTCTGCCTGCTGTGGAGAATACCATTAATAATGGTATTTTCGAGCCCATTGAGGGATTTACTGACTACGGCGAGACAGTACTCCTGGGCCTGTTCTGCGCTATTGCATATGATTGTGAGAAGCACATATACACAATTGACCACATAAAGTCTGCCTCTAAGGAGCTGAAAAGCTTTTTCCAAAAGCACAGTGGCATTTATGGAGAAGTGTTAAAGGAAGTGCACGATGAGTGGAACAAAGTAGTGGGTGGCCTAGCCAACAAGAATATACAATATATGCGGCCAGACAGAAACCAGCTTGTGCCAGGAATAGTAAACATGCTGTATGTCATTAAAGAGATAACAGGAGTGGGTGATACAAAGAAGATAGATAAATTTAGAAAAAGGCTAAAGAGGATAGAGGAGGGACAGAAGATTCAGGAAGTAGAGCTTATTTATGAGAGACTTACAGAAGATGCAAACAATACAGAAGAAAAGAAAAATGAAATGAAATTACAAATATTAGGCGTGATTAATGTGAAAAGACTGAATAAAATAAGGATCCTTGAAGAGGCACTTAAAGAAGAAAAAAACAAAGAAGAGGCAGATGAAATCAAGCTAGAGATACAGGAACTAATGGATATTAACCGATTATATAAAAGTTATATTAAGAAAGAGAAGATGCTGAAAACTAAACTAGAAAATGATATAAACAAATATCTGAAAGATGTAATTAAACCAATTGCAATCGGTGTGGATGTCACTATTTCTATAGATTTTATATATAAAGAGACTGTTAAAAAAAGCTGCAGTGATATTCTCGGGATATTTGCGGTATATCGTGGTGAGGAGCTAACCAATTACTATAAGTTTTGGTCTTTGTCAAAGTATACTTCAAAAGGGATAGAAGTGAAGTGTACAACTGCTTTTAATTTACAAAAGGAGCCATGCTCATTAGAGAACAAACAATTCGGGGCATTTGAGAGGAATGCACTTGCTCGGATTATAACTGAATTAAAGAGAAAAAGTCGTTCTAACCCGAGTGGATTCCATCCCACTCTCTTCTATCGTGATAAGTGCGATACTATAGATATGTATCTGATTGATCCTTTAATGCATATCCAAAATCACAAAATATATATTATATGGGCTCTACTGCTACATGCAATAGACAGAAATCTTGACAGCGACCACCCTTTTGTGCGCCTGGCAGATAACCTCCTGGAGAGCACTCGCTTCATGTATAGAGACAAAAAGAATGAAATGTTTATGCTGCTTAACCTCATCTCAGTAGACAAGTACTATCCGCACATAACCATATACGAGCATGCGTATGAAAATGAAAAATATTTTGCAAAAGTAATAGAGAATCTATTAGAATTGGCAAAAAGTACAGCACTTGTGTCCCACAAACAGTGTGCTGATATAATAACCAAACTAATTATTAAGTTGTTGAGGACTTTCCGGAGAGATAATAGATATTCAGGGTTGCAATGTTTTTTCCTGCAAAACTGTAGTATACCTAAAGCAAAATCTTTATTTGCCAAGATTTTGACACTGGATGGAAACACTATGGAGTATATTACTAGAATTGTTCAATCTACGCAGGGAATGGGAAATGAAGACCCCGCTGATGGTTGTACGGGATACATTAATGTGCTTTTGATGTGGATTATTCAGAATGCAAACGAATCCAGGTGTGATAATTGGCAGGATATAGCAAAAGAATGCTATAACTTAATTGACGTAACCAAACTCAGAAGGAGCGATTTTATAAATTGTTCTATGATATGGAACCATAGTATATATATACCATCACTGTTTCCATACCTAAAACCTATAGTGTGCGTTGAGCATGATGCAGAGAGCGTGGAAAGGTTTAGATCAATTGAAGAACTATTTAATGAACTTGTGCATTGGTAAGCAAACTTTAATAAAGTTATTTAAAATTTGTGTGCTAATACTTGCTGCATGTGAGCCTGTAGAAATACGCTTTTTTAAATAAGACACATAATAGGAGGATACTAAGGGCGGTAGTAACCCGAATTATATTATAGCTAGTTTAGTTGGGTACCTGAACATTGCCAAATGCACACTGAACTAATATCCATAGTAGAAGTATTAAAATAAAAATGCAAGTATTTTCAATTATAGCATATTGTCGCGAATAGTACATACATACAGAAATAGGCAAAAGGCAATTGTAGAAAGTGAAGTTTCTGCTTCTAACCATCACAGGCATAATCAAGCTCTATCTGAAAGCATCAGATGTATCCGCATTGTGGCTATAGACCAATACATCCACTGTACGCTGTGAGTAGAAGAATGTGTCTTCTTATATGACAATAAATACTTGTTTCGTTCTCTACTTGCCCGCAGAGTGTTTTTGTCTCTGTTTCCCTCTTTCTTCTCTCTTTATGTCAGACCAATGATGGTTCTCTGTGATGCGCTACTTTTCTTCTTTTCCCTGCCTCTCATGCTTTATTTCTCTTTTTATACCTATGTAAAATAAATTGCTTCAAAGGGCTGTATGTATACTTTATTTCCCAATATATAGGAGAATAAAAATACAAGAAGGACACTGAAAGAAAAGAAAAAGACAAAGTAGACAGACACACAGAAATAAAAGAATAGGTAGAGAAATAAAGAGTATGGATGTATTAATAGGTATATACACTGATAGACCAATAGAGGGTCTATTAAGTGAACTATAGAGACACATCATAGTGTATAGCAAATATATTAGCCAGCAAGTGCAGTTAGCTCATAAAGGAGCTAAGAGATAAATAGCTAGAGGATTCTGTGGCATATTGCCGACTTGAGAAAAGGAATTTGTGCTCCAAAGGTAGAGATAATGACAAGCACCTGCGTGAATATATACATATATAAGAATAATTAAATTTTATTATACTTTGTTGCAGAAATGCGCTTAATATATCCCAACCTCTCTTTTGTAGAATTTACTAAAAAAGTATTATGGAAATAAAATGATCTGTCAACACTCAATGTGTTTATGCTATGAATCATTATCGATCAATTATTCCATTTTAAATGCTTAAGTACAAAAATGTCTAAAGATTTCAGTATTGAGATATGAACATGCGGATAAAAAGAAACACACAGGAATGTTTATACGAAAGAAAGAACAAAGAACAAGCAAACAGAAGTACTAAAAGCATGTCCATGCGGCTACTAGCAAAAGTGCTTCTTATGTGCATGCTTTTATCTATACAGAATGTCTTTGGATTATTGAACAGAAAAGATATGGAAGAAGTGCTAGAAGAAGTATTAAGTAAAACAAAAGATGCTAGTATGTCCAAAATGAATCGGTATTTTAGCCCAATTCTGCTGGATTTATATAGGAAGATAGACATTCTTCATAGTGTGCGATTTAATCCTCAATACATAAATGAACAGGCTGCTATGCCAAAGGAAGAAAATATTCTACAGGAAATAGACCGAACAAACGACAGAGTCAAAGAAGAGGATTCAGAGGGAAATAAGATGCCAAAGGAAACTGTGGACCACTACAATGCACTGATTAACATGTTCCCTTCTCCATCTGGAGAAGTAAGCATCTATCCGAAAGAAGGCTGCAAAGACTCTTTTACTTCTTTCCTCAAAAGCAAACATGTAGAGGAATATGCACATAGAATTCTTGCAATACTTCTTATTCGGGCAGAGGGTGTGCCTGTGCCGCTGATAATTGAGAATGAGGAAAGCGCTTGCCCAAAACTTGTGTACACTAACGAACAAAAACCAGAGCAATCTTTCAATATTCCCATAGACATTGCTAGTGCGGAATGGAAGGGTAGAAGAAACCCTGATAAAGGTGAAGAAGCAAATATAAAAAAAGTTAACAGTAGACTACTGCAGACTATTAAGTATTTTATTAATGCACAAATTATCAATCCAGAACTTAAGAAGAGGAAGAGAAAGAGTATATTGCTGCCAGAGTCAGGTAAAAAAGAAAATTATTGGGAGAACGAGTTTACTAAAACACCCGCTTGGCTTATACAATCATATATATACTACTATCTGGAAACTAAAGAAGAGGCAATTAAACTCTATGGTGAGATAGACAAAAAATTAAAGTCTTGCATAGATTTGTATCCAGTATATAACTATAGCTATATTGCAGGGGATTTCTTTGACAAATCCTTTACATCTAAAGATGTGCAGTCAGAGGAACTTGTGTGGTGGGAAAAAGTAAAAAAACTTGAAGATATGGTTGAAGCTAAGAAAGAAGTCCAGCTGTATCCCTTCGCGGATAATAGTCATCTACCTAACAAAGAAATAGTTAATCTGAATATCCAAGGAAATACATATTTGGAAACAAAAGTAATTTCAAGTGATATAGAATCTGTGTTACTTACTCTATTATGCTGCTTTGTATACGACCCAGAAACGAATACATACAATGTTAATCAAATTCTGGGCGCGAAGGAAGAAGTAAAGAGTCTGTTTGGCATGCCATCTAAAAGCATAGGTACTTCTAGAAATTTATCTAAAGTGAACAGAAATTCAGCCACGAGCAGCGCACCAAGCAAGGATATGCCTGTTATTCGGGTAGGGCAGGAAATACCACAAGAAGTTTGGAGTAGGTGGAGTGAAATAGTCCAGAATGTAGTGAAAAATGATGAAGACATAAGTTATATAATCCTAGAAAACAATAGGTGTATGATTAAACCCGACATCTTTAATATTCTCATAATAATGATAAAAGTTACAGGAATACATTATTCTAACTATAAGCATGTCATACAGGTATATAAAGATAGGAAGAAAAATATAACATTAATTAATAATGCTCATCTGATAAATCCCCTTGCAAACGAAATTGCAAACTATGCAGCATATGTATTTTCTTGCATATGTGGAGGGTTCTTATGCGATATAACATTTCCAGAATGGTGCAAGATGCCTTCTATACCTTCTAAAGATAAGAAAGAAAGAAGAATATGTGTGAATTTTATAAATTGTGCTATTAAGAATATAGGTGCTGGAAACGATTTGACTGGAAGCATAGAGATTTACTATGCAACAGAAAATAGTGCACGGCCAATAATTATTCATTTTGCTGCACCAGAAAAAGCTCATTTAGAAATTGGCAGCTATGCTGTAAAATCAAACAATTCAATTATTAGTAATTTAAAGAAAGAAATATGCACAATGCCAAAAAACAGCTATAGTCTGTATGCGCTTTCTAAATACGCAGAAACTTTGGAGTTATACACTCCAGACGATGTGGTGATTGATAAGTTCTATATAGAAGAAGTAAACAATCATGCTATAAGACTGGAAAATAAGACAATCCAGCCATGGCAATATGCCAATTGCACTGAATATGGTATACCTTCATCTATGATAAGTGATATATTTAAGAATGGGATGGATGAAAAATACAAATATGACTCGCAAGATTTAAAGAGCCTAATACTCAGTAAGCCAGGGCTTAATATAAAACAGATGATGTATTTAATTGTCTGCATAGCAAAAGAAGCCAAAGATTTGGAAAATAGTTTTTATAATGAATGGGAGATGAACAAACGCATGATAGATTGCTGTGACAAGTATACAGATGATTGTGCGCTCAGTTTTGTAGTGTTTTTACTTAAGCATTTGATAGACCTCAATGCAGATTTGGATATTGCAAATGTAGTTGAATTATATGCTCGGGTTTATGGACACAGTAACAGAAAATGCCTAAATACTCTATTTAATATGCTGTCGTTCAAGAAAATAGACACAGCTAAAATAATTAAATGCTTGGAAAAGTATGGTAGTATTATTGAAAAATAGCTGTCTCTAGAAAAAAAACAACTTACAAGGCCGTAATTTCTAGTTAAATTGGATGGTATTTTAACCACACAACTTTTCACAGAAGAGTCCAATTAAGAACAGTTGAGTTTTTCTGTGCATTAAGTTCCCAGCGGAAGAGAGCATTCTAAATGCAATAGTTGCATGGTTTTACTGCAATTATCCTATCCAAAGTATTAAGAGTGCAGCCTTGCTGGAGACAAGAGTCGTATGAGAGCCAATTCTTGCTATCTAGTGCAGCCACTAAGGCTCTCCTCAGAGTTTAATAAATGTTCTAGCTTAATTTCTCTTTCTAAAATATTAGACTTAGTCATACTAAACTTGGATATAATCTATTTTTATTGCATATTTATAGAAAGCTAGTAATTAATTTATAGGAATACAGGCTACTAACAAACATACTATACTTTGCAATAAAAATATATATTCATTAACAAGCACAATACAACCCCTAGAGAAAGATGAATAATTAATTTAATTCAGTATAGGTAAACAGAGCTAAATGAAGTGGGTTAGACTAGAGATAAAACAATACAAAGTAAAAGACCAGGACCTATTGACATTGCTGACTTAGAGAAAAAGGCTTCATGCCCTTAAGATAAAGAAAAATCACACTATTTATTAGATATATATGATATTTTTTAAGCTTTATATTAAACTAACACCATAATTGCTTTTGCAGTGCCATTATGATAAGTTTTTTATTTGTCTTAAATTCTTAGACATAATTAAAAGAAACCAGCTAGTAGTAGCCCAATATTTAAAAGTATACCATTGCTGGATTGTTACTTTTATTCTATGACAATTTTACTTCAAAATTGTGCTATTTTTCATATATAGATCCTAATATTTAAGCTATAGTTGTGTTTCAGGCCAGTACCATTCCATTATTTAGAAGATTTTTCGCTAATAGTTCTGTATTAGATTGACTATATTTCAAATTTACAGGCACTAGTATATCTGGAATATACATTCCTAAATTGTATGGGAATAGAAAGTATAAAGTTTCCTCAAAGCATAAATACTCTGAAGTTCTTCTAAAAGTTTCTATATCTATCTCTATAGCATTTTGAGTTGCTTGAATGTTTCGATTATATAGAGTTTTTAGAATTTCTTCTAGAATAGTCAATGTCTCTATAACTTTTACTTCCATTTTATATTTTGGCTATCCAAAGCTATATTTATAAAAATTTGAATCAAAATATAAAACTAAAAGCTGTCAAACTTCAAACCAAGAAAATAAAAAAAAATCAATTAAATAGGCTTCTACGGGAATCGAACCCGTAGCCTCACCCTTACTAGGGGTGCGCTCTACCATTGAGCTAAGAAGCCACAAGTACATAGTAACCCAAGCGGCTGTGGCGTCTGACAGGGTTACTATTTCTTCCGCATTTTAATTATTTTTAGAGATGGACAGAGACAACAGAAACGAAAAGAGCATGCTTGACAAAAGAGGGTATAAGCGAAGCCAGGATATGGGCCCTGGGCGCACTGTTCTTCCTTTGAACGAGTATGTGGGGGACCGGGAAATAAGCTCCCGTCTGTCAATTAGAAATGTTACGCTCGTTGATCCAGCCGGGCCAACTGACTCTGGGTACGCCAAGCTGCGCCAGTGGGTGGACGACTCTCTGGACTCCTTTAAAAATGACCTGAACAACCTTTTGTTCCCTGTTTTCATCCACCTGTACTTAGATATGATATCCATGCGAAGGGAAAATGAGGCGCTTACACTTATGAACCAGTATAAAGAAGACTTTCTAGAAGTGCATGCAAGCGAGATTCGCCAGATTGAGATGGTGCGGGATATCTCTAACCTCAAAGAAAACCAGTTTGCAATGGCCTTTATTTCAAACAAGTACCATCTGACAATGGGAAAGTATGCCTTTGACCTTTTGATTGACTTCCTGGAGCTTAATGGAATGCTAAAGATAGGAAAGATTGTAAACCAGTATCTTAACATAAAGGTGTTCACAGGAAAGATGAGCGAGGACATTATGGACATTGGTCTTGTGGGAGTTGCAGACTTTGACTTCAACAAAAAGCCCATTACAAGTGGAGTGCACTACATTTCGCCAAAGGTGGAGGAGCTTGTTTTGACTGAGGAGCAGTACAAGTATGAGTATCTTGACCAGTTCTTGGGGATTCTGAAGAAAAAGAAAATGGAGAACATCCCGCCCAACTATGAAAGAATTCCTCTCCCCAGCCCTTCTGCTTCTCACATTTCATCGGAAATAGACAAGCTGAGAGATCTTGCAAAGCGAATGAATGTAGGAAAGCACCAGATGCCAAGTATTTGCTGCTATACTGTACATAACACATTTGAAACCCTTTGCTGCTCAGACTACTCGCCAGACCTAAAGTTGGTTGCTCTTGGATACACAGACTCGTATATTGAAATACACTCGCTGACAGACGAAAATCTTCTAAAGCTGAAGCAGAGTATCTATCTCAAGGCGCCCGAGATGCGAACCGGAAAGGCTGACGATGCGCGGGATGATGTGGGGAAGGTGGTGCGGCTTGTTGGGCATTCGGGCCCTGTCTATGCTGTGAAGTTCTTTGCAAGCAAGCGGTTTTTGCTTTCTGCCTCGCAGGACAGCACAATTCGTATGTGGTCTTTGGACACATACTCTGAAATCGCTGTGTATCAGGGGCACTTCTTCCCTGTATGGTGCATCGACATTGCGTCAAACGACTACTACTTTGCATCGGGCTCCAGCGACCGGACCGCTTGTGTTTGGAGCGTGGAAAGCGCAAAGCCAGTCCGTCTGTTTGCCTCTTCGCTTAGCGATGTGATGTGTGTGAAGTTCCATCCGAACTCAAACTATCTTTTCACAGGCAGCTGCGATTTTAAGATCCGAATGCATGATCTGCAGGATGGAGAGCTGGTTCGTCTTTTTGTTGACCATAAAGACGCAGTGACCTGCCTAGATGTCTCTGCATGCGGAAAGCATCTTTTGTCTGGCGGAAAGGACAAGACAGTTATTCTCTGGGATATTGCAACAGGGAAGAAGATCTTCAAGTACTCTGGGCACGAAGGGTTTATATACTCAGTGAGCTTTTCATACTTCTCGTCGCTTATTGTCTCGTCCTCAAGCGACAACACGGTGCGCTTGTGGGATAAATACAAAGGCGATTTAGTTGCAACATACTACACAAAATCAACTCCCATTATTAATGCAGTCTTTGGGTATAGAAATATCATATCCTGCATAGGAGCGTACACACCAAAGAAGCAATAAACTAGTTATTTGCATATACAATAATTTTATTTCTTTAAAGAGCCAGGCGAACATGCGCGCTCTTGTTTATTTGCAGATATTTCTAAAAAAGGAAGGAATTCCTTTTTCTTTAGTAAAGTGGCATAGATAAAAGAATTCTCTCCTACACATCACTGTAGTACAGCAGCAATCTTTTTTAAATGTCTTCTATATTTATATCATGCGGTACTCCTTCAACGGGTAGTGATTTCCATACTTATTTCTGGTCCTTCAGCGCATATCTATTTCCATATTTGACCTATGCTGAAGAAACAGTAAAGGAAATTATGTGCTATTTAGTCGTGCAGAAGTGCACAAATAATACGTGTGTGTTTTTTCCAGACTTAGAATTCGCATGTGGATATTCTAAGGCGCAGCGAAATCAAATCTTTATAGAATTGCTGTTTTAAAATCCTTTTGCTGGAATGGATATTTCATTGGACAGAAAGACATGCTCCATGATCGACAAAGGAATAGCAGGAAAGTTTGAGCAGATGTCCATTATGCTAAAAGACTCGGGGCTTTATGTGCAGGCTGTAGACAAACCAAAGAGCATGGTTATTGACCACTACGTAGACAGAATTCTCCTGGAGCCATATGTTGTGGAAGAGGTCGTGGGCACAACTATACCGTACACAAAATTTCTTCTGAATGGCATGGAGCGCCTGGCTATACTGAGAAAAGGAAGTCTTCTGAAAATGACATGGTCTGGCGAAGGAGTTTTTCTAGAAAAGCATCTGTACACTCTCGATTTTGAGTGGGTTGAAGTGGAGTATAACCTAGGCACAGTCATGTTCTCGCTGCCATACACGGGTCTTTCTCTTATCCGGAGAATTGGAGGAAATGAGCTAGAAGTGCATGTGAGCGAGAACAAGATGGAAATCCGCGCTATTTCTGAGAATAACGTCATTCTGTATACAAATCTAGACACTCCTGTCAGCGCCGCGTGCTCTTTTACATTGCTCAAGTATCACTTAGACAGGCTTCCAAAATGCGCATACAGCTCAGCAGCCTTTAACATAGACAAGCAGGGTCTCGTTATTTTGTCTCTGGAGGCACTTGGCGTCATTACAACGGTCACCATAGCCACAGAGGTCCTGTTCTTTGACTAGTCTTAGAATGCAAGACGGTATTGCGTAGAAAGAAAATGCAGTTAAATATTTATGGGCTTTCTTGTGTGCAAAATAATTTTCTTTCCCAATGGCTTCTGAGATATATTCTATAGAGTACGCAAATGCCCGTGCATCAGAAATAAAAGAGATCGAGAAAAGCATATGTGCTACAAAAAAGAACAAGATGCTGTTTCAGATCATTCCGTTCCATAAAAGAAGACGGACTGCATCTTTTGATGAGAGAAGGCTTCCAAAGGAGTGCAGACGGCGAGCCAGATCCAAAAGGCGGCAGATCAAGCAGTCTGTGAAGGACCAAAAGACTCTTTTGAAGGCGCACACGTGGTACGCAAAGCGTTTTGAGATGTACAAAAGAGGCAGCATGTTTGTTCCCTTTAAGCGGCACTCGAAAAGCGAGGGGTTTATTGCGAAGGCGTATAAAACCAGAGGGGTGCTTTGCGACATATCCTACAACAGGGTGTTTACAGGAGAGACTTCTCTTTCAACTTGCTGCGCATTTGACGCAGACTACAATCGAGGCATTGTATGGTCGGCTACAGCTCTTTCAAGCAATGCAGAGACTAAAGGCGCAGGAGCTTCTATGCAAGGAAAGAGCATTGTGATTAGCGAGTCGCAGGAGTGGGTAGAGGATAGTGTCAGATCTTTTACTGAAATAGAAGGCCTGTCGATCTTTGAAGTATTTGGAAAGCAAACTCTTTTTGCCAATAGTGAGTTTTTTAACTGTGTAAAGGTTGAGGATCTTCTCTGCACAGACAGTCTGTCATACGTATGCATGCGTATAGAGAACAAGTCATATGTTCTTGTAGCGCGGAAGCACTGCATGGCTTTACTGCAGAAAGCTGTTGTCTCTGGAATTGTACCTTGCAGCATCCTTGAGCTTAGAAGAATTGCAACAGAGACAGAAAAAGTAGTATATCCGTATGACATTCCACAGACTGCAACAGGAAAGGCTTTTTTAGCACATCTCAGTTCTTTAGAGGAAGAGCGACAGAGTCGAAAGCCCAAGGGAAAGAAAGATGTGATATTCAGGCCTCTTTACGAGAAGGAGTTGGGCTCACAAAAAATGTACTTATTTACTGCGAAGAAAGGAAGCTTTTCAGCTAAGTCACCTGTGGTGCAAAGCGATGCAGCAGATGACTTTATTATGCAGGGGAGTGAAGAAGTTATTGGAGAAGTAGGAAGGTCGTCCTTTTCATTTGCAAAGGGGCGGACCACAGGGCTTATATACATTGACAAAGAAGCATGCATAACCGGAAGCCTCTTTGTTCGCAACTTAAAAAACAACATATTTAGAAAAGTAGAGTGTGCAGCAGCTGAGGCAGATGCTATTCTATAGTGTCTGGCATGTCTTTTTCGGTGAGGAAGCGCGCATTTTTAGCTCTTTTGGATGTATATGCATGGGCGGTGTTGCGCATGTGGCAGTCATAGAACAGTGGCACGTATAGATAGACAGCCAAAGTAATAAAATGCAGGCTTGCTAAGGCACATATTTATGTTAATTTTAATAAACTCCTGTTAATGAAAAGCCTTTTGCATTAACCATAAGCCTCTAGCAATTATTTTAGTAGTATATATTCATAATTAAAATTACTATAGGTATAACCCGAATATGGCACGAAGTATTAATAAACTTGAATTAATAAATTAATAACAGGCAAACAAGCACGATTTCTTGCTGCGTGTTGACTAAAACTCAAAAACTAGAAGGTAATGCTCAATATTCAACCACATTTCTCGTACAGAGAAAGAGCTGTGTTCCCTCAAAATATATAAAACCAGTAGAATAAGCGTATAAATACTTTACCCTCTGGTCTTTTGATGCTACGTGCTGTTTGGGTCTGCACTTGTCTCTAGCTATTTCTTTCTATTTTGAAGACTCTCCTAGCAATACAAATATCTAATTCGTTTTCTCTCTCTATGTCACGTAGATATAGACTAAGCTCCAATTCTGAGATCATCTCCTTCATAGCCTATTTAAAAAATGCATTTCTTAGATTTTCATGTGCTTTTGCTTTTTTTTGATTTTAATGCCTTCATTTCAGATATCTTAGTGAAAGTACGCTTTATTTTACTGAAAACCACTAAAAAACAGAAAAAGTCCTAAAGTACCCAAATTTTTAAGTGCTACACATGCAGGCCAGTAAATAGTACATAAACCCAGAAACTTCGATTCAGAAAAAGAAATTCAAAAATCTTGACATGTGCAATTGAACTTACTGTGTGATAGATGTTGGAGAGATTAAAACATCACAACATATGGACTCAAACATGCTCAAAAACAGTTTACCTCATAATTATATCAAGGCACATAGCTTTTAACAGAGTTATACTGGCCTATTTAATTTTATTTATAGTTGAACAAAACTTAAAACTTTAGTTATAGGTGGTGTAAACAGGATAGTTTTTGTGGCATAGAGTCTTTTTATGTCTAGATTAGAAACAATTGGGCTTGCTTTTAATAAATATATTGTGCAAAGCTGCTGTTAAATAAACTTCTTTAGAAAACATGCAACACTTAATTTAAAACTACCGTTCAAACATATGTGTACTACGAATATATGCACAGTCTTTATTTATTTGAAAATTTAAGCTACTGTAAAGTGCAGCATACTACATAATAGTGAGCTAAAAAGTCTATGATGTCTGGTGTTTTCTGAATTAATATACTTCATTCTATATGGATATATTATGGATTAGTATCCAATGCCACAGGCAATAAGTGCGCAAAAAGCAGGCAGGAAACAGCGCATGCATCCATATTTCTTTAATGCAGGATGCTTTGTTTATATTCCATGCGTATTAATGCTTATATGGGTGTTTATGTGAAAAAAGCGGTTAAAGAAATCTATTGCATTAAAGAGCACACAAAGCTGAGAGCTAAGTCTTTTAGGCAGAACCCGCTACCACCAAGAGGTGGGTCCCAGGCCGGGGCCATTGATTGATGCATATATTCTTGACCCCTCTGTGCTAATAATAGACACCTTGCATGCCTCGCCCATGCGGACATATAATATACAATCGTTGTACTTCCACCCCCATATATCCACTGTGCTTCCCATGCGCCCAGACACAGCAGTTAGCTCAGACGAAGGCGGTATCTGCGATGCGGGGACAAAAAGAGACGGAAGAAGAGGGTGCGATAGAAGAAGGCCTGTTGCATCCTGCTTCTCCACGGTGCATGTGAGAACCTCCCCCACAAGGGCCTTATACGTAACAAGCTTGTACACAACCAGTGGGTATAGCATTCCCTCATGTATTTCTACATCGCTAACGGAATGTATGCACACAGGAAACAGGCAGATGCCAATTCCATCAACTGTTTTCCCAGGAACCTTTTTCTGCAGCGTGGCCAGAATGGCAGCATGTATGTCCTTTTCATTTGGAGAAATTTGCAGCCTTTCTGTCTGCACTGTCTCAATGAACATTATTAAAAAAATCACTCGCTACAGAATTCTATAGAAAGTTCTGCAAAAGGAAAGATCCATCAGAAAGATAGCAAATTGCTTATTAGAAAACATGATGCAGTAGATTCAGTGAATTAAATACTTTGGTTCTAAAATATAAATTATATTTAAGTTCTTGGTGGACAGCGGCCGGGTCCAGCTTTTCTATAGCGAAATACTATAGCAGACAAAGCATTTCTCTAATGCGTCAACCTAAATGCAAAAAGCTAAAGATTACATGCACTGTAAATCTACTCTATACTAGACTTAACACTGCATGCACTGATCAGCACAGTAAAACAAATAAAATGAGTGCACTACAAGCCAATGGTGTGGTGTGTATAGCATAGGGTGCAACGCGCTTTCATTATACAGTTATCTTTTTCATAATGAGGAGAATGAGATCTGCCACAGTGATTCTATCATCAGGGCGCTTTATAAAAATCTGCTTACATATGTCCTCTATCTCGTCCGGCACACCAGTATAGTCTATTTTACAGCTTAGTATTTTTGGATAGAGCGAGTACAGGGATGTTGATACAAAGGTGTCTTTTCCAACAGCCATGTAGTACAGAAGACACCCAAACCCCCATACGTCAAGAGAAGCAAGCAAAATGCAGCTTGACTTCTTCTTAATCATTTCGGGTGCCATGTAGGCAGGCGTGCCCTCAAATGGAAGCGTGCTTCCGCTAATCGTGCACTCAGGCGAAATAATAGAGCACCCAAAGTCAATCAAGTGGGCGCCGTGCCGAGACACTATTACGTTGTCGGGCTTAATGTCCAGGTGGTAGACCCCCAGAGAGTGCATCTGCGCAAGAGTTTGAAGAATGGAGAGGCCTGTGTAGAGAATTTCCTGCACGCTTAGCGCAGACGGAAGATTGCTTAAGCTGTACCCGCGGAAGTACGATAAAGCAATAAAGACCAAGCTCTCTGTCTCGTGCCACTCCTTCAGATGGGCAATGCCAGGCATACTTCCAAGCCTCTGCAGTGCAGAAATCTCCTTTTTTGCATGCATGGTTCCCCTCTTTCTGTGCTTTCCCTTGTGCACAACCTTCATCGCGCATGTTTCTGTGCCCTTTTTTGCAAGATACACCTCTGCATACATTCCTTCTCCCAAGAGCTCTTTAAACTCGTAGCCCTCCAGACTGTAAAGTGTTTCCATGTATTTTTATTTTTGTATGGATAAATACAGTGAGGTACAGACCGCAGTGCGAGACTTGACAAGTATGGTACAGACACCGCAGGAGACAGTGAGAAATCACAGCAGCGGGTACACAACAGACACAATTATGTATAAAAAGGAGTCGTTGGGCTTGCCAAAAGAACTTGAGGAAATTGTGCAGGATGGAGGAAGCATAGGGCTGATTGACGGTGTGTCGTCAGCGTGGGGCTCTGTGCGGGGGAAGCTTGTGATATGGAACTACAGCACGCAGATGATTAGCGAGATAGAGATGAAGTCGCAGGAGGTCCGGGCGATCTTTGCAATAAAAAGGGCAAAGGGTGTTTTCACCTCTAACGTGCAGTACTGCATTCTTATATTCAGTGAGCAGAGCATTAGCATGATGTGTCTGTGCAAGAACCCAGTTACCTACATCAGCATGGACATATCGGTGGACCTTCCTGTTGGAATGACATGCGTCTGCGAGAATGACAATGGAAGAATTTTCATGGGAGGAAAAGATGGAAACATATATGAGTTCATCTACAACGAAAGAAGCTGGCTGAAGGGGTACACCGCAAAGATTGTGTCCCACACCCATGGGATAATGGCACACGTTCTGCCATTTTTGTATGCAATGGGGCGCAGGGCAGCTATACAGCAGATTGTGCCCACGTATAGAGGGCTGCTTGTGCTGTACAAAGACAACACGTTGGAGGCGTACACTCTGGAGAAGCATCTGAAGAAGATAAGAACCGCAGACCTTGCAGAGCTGAACACCACAGATACAATACAGCTCGTGCGGATGGATGACGCCAAGTGCCAGGCGTATCTGATTCTTCCAGATGCAACCAGGCTCTTTTTAGACTGCAGTGGGTATCTTCTGGGAAAGAGGCCCATGACGCGGGCCCGGATAAGATCCCGTCTTGTTGCACCCAGCTCGATTAAAAACGAAAGCTTCTACCAGATAGGAAAAAGCCTTGTGAGCTTTGGAAAGAACAATAGCGAAGTGTTTATTACAGCAATTACCAGAAACAAAACAGATGTCTCCAGTCCGGAGAACTGCTGCACAATTATGGGCGGGGCTGAGTATGCACACGCAGCTCTTTCGGGAGGCAGCCAGTGGAAGAACCTTGCAGAGTGCTGTATTTCTGGAGAAGAGGTGGCTTTCCTTGCACACAATCGGCTAGACATATACCATATTATGAATGGGGTGGAGCTAATGGAGCGGGCAAGCACAAACCCAGAGGGCATGTTTGCATTTATGCAGAGGAACGGGCCTGAGCTTTCAATGCTGTCTGCGCTCTATGCGGTTGCAGGAGGGGCATCTTCTCCAGCAATTGACAGCTTTTTTAAGAAGTCTGAGTCTCTCCAAAAGAATGCAATTGCTATGTGCGCAGGAATAATTGTTTATAAGGTGTGGAGCATTGACATATACGCCATGCTAAAGGAAGACATGGGACTAGAGGCTGGTGAATACATTGATGAAATAGAAGCTGCTATATCGAAGGCAAGGCGGCTGAAAAACTTTATTATTCGAGAATGTGTAAACATCAATAATATTCGCATTGCAGAGGGCACTGTTGTGGACATGCTGGACAATATAGAAGAGACGCTCCACTACATCAGCATACTTATGGAGTCTGATGCGCTGTACATCTTTGACGAGGCAAAGAAAAAGAGCGGCGGGGCGCTTGAGTTTACATACTCAAACTTCCTCAAGCCGGTCACAGACCTGAGAAAAGCAACTCTCAATGCTCTTGTGGACCTCAACCTGAGCCAGAAGGCAACTGTGGACAGCATCACCATGGAGCTAAACGAGAAGTGCTCCACGCTGTTTGCACTGACTGACACACTGCTGCTGAAGGGAAAGGAGGCCATAGAGAAGGCCTCGCGAGCAGCAACCAGCGAGGACAGGAAGTGGTATCTTATCAAAAGTATGGAGTTCTTCACAAAAACAGCAGCAAAGAAGTATCTTCCAGAGATAGTGGAGATGTACTCAAATGTAAGGTTTTCAAAGGGTATTCTTTATGCAATTCGCGCAGGCTTCAGCTCTATTACAGAAGAAGAGGCCACTGCGTACTTCAAGAAGATTGAGTGCACAGAGGAGATTCTTCAGGAGGGACTTAAAGACGAAAGGCCTGCAATGTGCAATGCGCTGCTGAATGCTGCAATTGCAAAGATTGTCGACAAGAGCCTTTCTGTGGATGTGCTGCTGAAAATAAAGTCTCCATATTTGGAGGACTATCTTGACCGCCTGGATAGAACATCAGAATCTCTTGAGCTGTGCGATCTTATCTGGAAGTACCACCTCAAGAACCAGAACTACTCAACGGCAGCCCGCTATCTTCTGCGGTCATCTGAACGGACAAAGCCAGCAATTACCCTGGAAAAGCGAATTGAGTACATATCCATCGCATGTACCATGCAGTCTGCGTCAAAGGGATGCGATGACTCTGCGTTGGTAGGGCATATTAGAAATTATATGCCGCGGCTTGGAATCTGTGCAAAGGAAAGGCTGTGCATGGTGCAGAGACAGGCCGATGTGCTGTCCGCTCTCTCGTGTGCATACAACATAGGAGGTGCGGGAATAGCTGCGCCACAGGCAATTGTAGAGGAAACCTTTGTGCGGCTGGACACCGGGCTTCTGAGCTTTGAAGAGCTATTTGAGATATGCGTGATGTTCGGGTTTTCAGTGCTCGCTTTGAAGATATCCACAAAGGGAGAGATTGATGATCCTGTACTGATGAAGACACTGTGGGAAGATGCGCTGTCAGGGCCATACGGGCAGTGTGTAGAGGTTCTGAAGGAGAACCCAGACATCATGGCAGGCGCACCTCTCGACATGGTCTTTGATATACTAGCTAGAAAAAAGGTGGAGGAGCCACAGAGCGAAGAAAACCTAGGAAGCGTACTGGTGTCTCTTGGGAGCTCTACTATGAAGGCTGCCAGCATGCTTGAGCAGAAGGGAATGAGCTCAGAATACGCAAGCCCGCGTAGCAAAAAGATCATCTTTAACGAAGCAATAGCTTTCTGCGAGATGCACAATTTGACTGAGATCCGACATCGAATCAGCTCATTTAAGGCGTCTCTCGGAATATAGGGGGAGTTCTTCCTGCGATGAACACTTATAGTATTTATATGTCTTTTTTAATATATCTTGTTTCACAAGGCACGGGAGTATAAATATTGAATCTTGACTGCTGCTATTAAATATAGTTTGTTTCATCTCTTTCTGTTGTCTTCTTCTTTTTATACAATTATAGTTTTTGTGATGCAAGTAGAAATATCTATCCAAAAGCCTTTCACTATTATTTAGAGAACAAGCGCCGATTTCTCAAATACTTGGAAAAATATATACCCAATAGACTATACATAAAGTCATTTAGGCATTTAGTAGAAAAGAACTTTGCAAATATGCTAAAAAGACAGTGCTGTAGGAGGCCCATATGAAAACATCTGCTATACCAGTGTGCCTCACTGGACAGCGCAAAAAATAACCAGTGTGCGCCAAGAAATACTATGTATATTGTTGTTTTATTATGATGCAGTTTGCGCACTTGACTCAACAAACTAGAGCGCACAGGAGTTTATAGCAGATCACTGTAGAGGCTCGTTATAAGAACTTCAATGCGATTGGAGTCAAAGGTTTTGAGAGGGTTTTTCTCAAAGAACGAGGTTATAATGTCCACTGCGGCTTTCTTGTCCACCAGACTTGCATTCTTTAGATCCTCTCCAATCCCGCTGGAAAAGGCCTCATTTAATGTGATCTTATTCTTATCCTCAATAGGTACCAAGGAAAGCAGATAGAAGTGCCGGATGACTTGGAATGCGTCCTGGTCTTCGGGCGTAAGAGGGAACTCTGGGTAGAAGCTTGTCACTATAAACGCAACCGACTCCTGCGAGGAAGACAGGCGCATGGATCCGCATCCAGGAACAAGAAGGCCTAGACACATTTTTATGTGCTGGATGCGCCCATAGCGCATTCCGTACTGCTCTCTATATGTTCCCGAAAACGGGCTGAAGTCTATGATTTTATCCAACGCTTCCACACACTTCAAAGACTCAAGCATTCTTTTGCATGTTCCTAGAATGCAAAGATCTCCTGTTGAGTTTAGAACCAGGCAGCAGGCTAGCAGTGTGTAATCTAGTATAATTGAGTGCACGCTTCCGTTTCTTTCTATTTTGTACAGAAGGTTTGTGATGTCATCAACAAACTTTGCAGACGGCTTTTTCCCTTCTTCCGGGATCTGCAGAATTCCATGCGCAAAAATTCTTCCTGCAATGCTGTATGCCTCCTCAATTGGCAGGTTTTCAGTAAGTGCCTCGCTCAAAACGCTTTTATAATCCGCAGCACCATTTCCCAGAACGAGCAAGATCATGAGCGAAGAGTAGAATCTGTTTAGGGGCATGGAGTGCGTGCGGCTCTCTTCCAGCAGGCACGATATCTTCTCCCATCCGCTTCGCATGTGCACTAGGCCATTCACAATGATTTCACAAGTTCGGTCGGGCAGTCTAATATACTCTCGGCTGTGTGTTCCAAGCATGATATATGCAAAGGAGAAGGCAGCTGCTGCTCTGTGGTATTTGTCATAGTACTCCTTTTTTGTCTGTGCATTGCCTATGGCTATGGGACCTTTTCTTTGCATGTACTCAATAAGAGACTTTTTGGCAAAAAGATCATCGTGCCCCATATATAGCACTCCAAGAGACAGCACACTCCACATCAGAAGGTGGCTGGGAGAGGTGGCGGAGTGCATGTTAAACCATATAATGTTTGCGTGGTCCTTGTTTCCAGTTCCCTTGACAATAAAAGAGTTCCCTAGAATTGTGGCTGCAATCAGGAGACTGTCATGGCTTTTTGAGAGAGACAGAATAAGAGACCGCGAGAGATTCAGCTTCTCTCCAATTGTTAGGTTGCTCTGGCACACATTTGTCTTCAGGCCAAACCCAAAGATCGCACCTGCGAGGGCCATCAGCGCTCTTGGCGTCATCACATCAATATGGCTTGTGGAGATAAACGGCCTATTTGGAATCGAGAGCGCAGTGGCCACAGAGAAGTGAAACGCAGGCCACATGCTGTCGCATTCATCCAGGTCTGTAATGGACACCACGTGGTTATTCTTTTTCAAAAATACCTTCATTTCGGGGACTTGAAACACATTGATATGGCTGTTTCTGTTCAGGAGAAACATGCCGCGCCCAATTGAGGCTATAATTGAAAAGACAAACGCCTTCTTCCGCCGGTTCTCTGTGTCGTACACATCAAACATAAAGTCGCCAATCTGGTGCCCAGATAGAAGACGCTTGCACTCTTCAATCACACTTGTATTTCGCAGGCGCAGCGGAACACTTTGAATGTGCTCTGGATCGTCCAGCGTGTGCGCAACATACCTGTCAGCCATGCTAAAGCTCTCCTGGTTCTCTATGCTCTGATCGTTTTTCAAAAGGCTGTACCCTAGGTTCTTCGACTTATAGATAAGGTTTTCGTTGTACGAAAACAGCTCGTACATAATAGCAGTCTTGGGAACTGACTGTGATCCCAGCATCCAGAACATGTAGGCTCTCTTTCTGTTGGTCTTTTTGTTTCGCTTGGCTATGTCGCGAAATAGAGGTGTCTGTATACTGCCAACACATCTAATAATGTGTGCTACCCGCTCTAAATACACAGACATCTTCTCAACCAGTCTCCGTGGAAGTGTAGCAATCTCATGCGATATCAGCTTGTGCATAGATGCCTCTGGCGTTGAGAAGTACACCTTTAGCACTTTATGCATGTTATACGATGGCATGATTGTTCCAAAAAGCCTCTGTCCTGTCTCAGCGTATCGGAAAAAGTTGGAAATCTCTTTTATAGTGTACACTCCCTTCCTAACCACCTTAATCTGTGCAATTGCCTGGTCTGTGATGTATCTTGGCAGTGTGTCCTGCAAGTGGGCCGCCAAATTAAACACAAGCCCATATTCGCTTACGACCTCCTGCCCATTTACTAAAAAGTACATGCCTCGCTTCATTTTAATAGGCACAACACTTTCCACTTTCTTGGAAACAGGCACATACACCAGCTCCTGCTTGATCTGCATCTCTTTTGAGCGCCTGCTTAGAGATCCTATTACAATTCTGTCTTCCTGCCACATTGCATATCGCAGGCCCTCAACGTGAGCACCCATTACAGGCTCCTGCACTTGTAAAGAGAAACCATAGTCTGAATATGGAGGCGTCCATTTGTATATGCGGAGATATGTTTTCTTATATTTTTCATATTGCAGTATAAATCTGTCTTTATGTGCAGCAACAATCTCAAATGGCACATACAGTTGAGAGTATGCGTGAACTGTCTCATACGGATGCGTTATGTATAGAAGCTGGGTACTATTTTCCTCGCAGTATATAACGCCTTCAGAGAGAAACCCGCAGCTCTTTATCCTCTTAGTGGGATACTTTATCATCTCGCCAGTCTCCTCCATAAAAACAATGCTTTTCTCCAGAACAGCAACAACGTGCTGGCGAACCCGCCCGCACTTCTGGATTTTTGTCTCAAATCTGTATGCTGTCTTTGCTGTCTTGAGTGTATACTCTGTCCACTTCATAAATAAAAAAGAAGAGCTCATCTAAATAAAGAATCCATTTACTAATGTCTGCAGTACTTCTCTCGGCGCAGGAGCAGCGGATACTATGTAAGAAACTCCTCCTTCTGCGCGCTCTGGTATTTTTTGCTTTCAAAGTATGTGCCATACACATTGATTATTTTCTTATTATGGAAGATCCCCTGGTGAACCATAATTAAAAGAGACAGCATTTCGTCTGTCCCCGGAATTGTTTCTGAAACCTGGAAGTTTGGCCGTTTGCAGAAAGAAACATAGATGGGCGCGCGCTTTGAAAAGAACACAAGCACATGGCGCGTGTCCTCTGAGATTTTGTACTTTCTGCGCAGTGCGTCTGCCACGTCCTTGGTTTCGTATGCAGCAATTGCAAAATATCTGCAAACCATCCCATTCAGCTCAGACAGCATGCGGTCTATTCGCTGGCACTCCTTTTCTTCTGCATATCCAAATCTGACTAAAAGAATGCGCTTATCGTTCAGCAGGTCTTCAAACATCTTATCCGAGACAATATTGTTTAGAAAAAAGGACATGCCAATAGGATAGCACCTAAACTCTATATACGTATTCTTCTGATTTTTATTTTAAGATGAGATTTCCTCTCTGCAAATAGGGCACTGGTTCTTGCTTCTCTGCAGCCAGGTTTTCAGGCAAAGGCCGTGGAACTGGTTACTGCACTTTGAGCATGTTGTATCTGGGAAGCTCTTTGACACCTCGTTCACCATAAAGAAGCAGATGCCGCACTCTTCAACCTCATCCACCGCCTTGTCCAGCGCAAGCTTCCAGAGGACCAAGGCCTCTCCCACTCTGCAGTGCTCTGCCATCAGCATCTGGATCCTCAAAAGAAGTCTCTGTAGCCTCTGCTTTTTTACTCCCACGCATCGAATAATTTTTACTTCTGGTATGCTTAGCGGATAGTCCTTTGGGAAGTTGATGTTCACCTCAAGCTCAGACTCCTCTATCTTGTATACAACAACCATGATGTGGATCTCTGCTATTGTCTTCATTCTAATCTCCACTCCCTGCAAAGGACGGCTGGCCTCGTCCCGGATCAGCCTTGGGGTTACGTTCTGCACAAAGTATCTCTGAACCCGCTTCGTATTTCTGCTGCTTTTGAAGAAGAGTCGAAGAAGTACAGGGAAGCTTCTGGCAAAAAGTCCAAGAAGATCAAGCGCGTTTGCCTCGCTTGAGATTAAAAAGGAGAGCCACTTGCACTCCGCGCGCACCATGGCAGATATCAAAGAGGACAGCTCAATAGTTCGAATCTCGCTGCAGATAGATAGGAAAAGACGCCACTCGTATGCATCCATGTTCTTTATATTACCTATTGCTGGTATGTCAAAAAGCATGTAGAATATCTCTGCATCAATCGCACCCTCCTCCACCTTTGACATACTGTACACATTAAGAACAGAGTTTGCGTAGTGCTTGGCAATGCTTTTGAGAATTGGGCGGTAGGCCTCACTTCTGTGCTCTCCTGCTTCTCCAGCCCACGCACGGTCGCTCTTAATGTACACTGCTGCTTTCTCTGGATGTCTCTCCAGATACGGCTGCATATGGCGAAGATCTTCTTGGTTTACAAGAGAAAAGTCTATGTCTTCAATTCCCTGGAAAGAAGTGCTATTCTGTATGGCAAGGGACAGAACTCTGCAGTGAATGCGCTGTGCTTCTTTAAAGCTGAGATTGAGTGTCTCTTTCCCTGTGCTTTTTTCAATTCGCAGAAGCAAATAGACCAACGCACCTCTATTTCTGCTTGGCAGACTGTCTAGCGTAACATCTGCCAGCTTGTCCTCCACATTACTTTCAACGGTATTTCCAAAGAGAGTCTGCACATATGCCTCAATAATGTCCTTGGCCAGTGCGCTCTTCTCAGTAGAAGGCTCTGTTGTGTCCTCTTCGGCTTGGCTTATTAGAGTGGCTATTTGTGATGGAACTCTTTTTTGTGAGACATCCTTCCAAAACCGCATTGCATCAACAACCCTTCCAACAAGGCCATCCACGCGGATGCTTCCAAAGCTCTCTTCAATCTCTGCTGCTGCTGGCAGGATGCTTTGTATTTCAAGAATGCTTTGCAAGAAGCCAGATAGCTTTGCATTTTTAAGCCGTGTAAGAGTACTCTTCCACTTAGAGAACGCATGCACAAAGAGATATGCACTGCAGGGCTGCTTTGTCTCTGCGCCCTCTATGACTTCAGTGAGCTCAATGCATTCATCAGATATGTCATTTGTTCCTGCTGCATTTCTATTTGCGTCCTGTATAATGTACTCATACACGCTGTTTTCGTCAATTGCCTCTTTTTCTATAAGGTATATAAGATAGCTCTCCTCTATGTCCTCAGTTAGCACAAACTTCTTAGTAAAGTCCTCCTTGGTATAGGGGGCTGTGGTGTATATGCGGCCCAGCAGCTTCATTGCGTACTTTTGCTCTATTTTATCCCGCACAAGCTCATATACCTCCTGAATCACATCCATAGGCTCGCTCTCAATCTTGCTCATAAGATACACCATCAGATCATCAGGCAGACCTCTCAGTATCTTTTCAATAAAGAGCTTGTACTTAAACATAAGATCTATAGTTTGGCGAGTGGTAAGCGAAGGGTGCTCGGTAGCCACATATATATGCTCTTCCTTTCCCAGCTCTTCCTGATCCTTGAAGAAAAACCGCGGAAGAACCCGCACGCCCTCCTCAAAGATGCCCTCCTTCTTAAGAAATCCAATGCTTATTTGGGATATCATTTCTCTGCTAATGTCTTCTATTTTTTCCCCAGCCATGTCGGCTCGAATAATGCGCTCTCTGAATGTGAGCTCTTCGTATACCTTTGTGCTATGTATAGGGTGTGCCTGCAGAGCTTCGTTCACTCGGTTATAGCAGTCTATAGTATTCAGATATGGAAAATCACTCTTCTCTATCTTTATATGCTCGAAGCCAGAAGTGTTGCTCTGGAACATCTTTTTGAGAATCAGCTTTCTGTTGTTTGTTATCTCAAGAAGAACAGAAAAGAGAATAGCAGGTAGATTTGCGCAGCCCTCCACAAAAAGAGCAGGACCATATTCGCTCACTTCCTTTCTAAACCGCTCTGAGGAAACAATCGCCAGAAAGGCCTCGTCTTCCATCTTAGAGCTGTCTTTTATCACATCCTTCACAGTGTATCCAGCATTAACTGCTGCAAACACTTTCCATCTCTCTGGAGCTCCTTGTGCAGCAGATGCAGCGCATAGCGCAGCTTCTTTTATTTCACTGCTCAGCTGCTGCTTTTCTTCTAGAGAGCACAGCAGCTTCGCAAGTCTGCCTATCTCCGAGCCTGTTTTGGCTTTTTTAATCATTTCTATGCTCACATCTACAGTCTTCTCGACTGCGCTCTCAACAAGTTTGCTTTTTATATACATCTCAACACACGCTGTTCTGTTATAGAAGGCAAGAAGCGGCACAAGGGCCTGGCTTTTGCTGAGGTGCTTGATCACTTTGTATCCAACCTTGTGCGGGTGGTCAAGAAACATATGCACCCAGTGGCTGGCACTGCTGTTCTGGAGCGGCCGAGAGCTGTTTTTCAGAATAGACAGAAAAATCGTTGACACATACGTTGGAATTGGCTCCTGTGCATTTTTGCATAGAACAGGCATTGTGTCATAGAGACACTGTGCAACACAATCGGCTGACAGCGTGTCCAGACTGTTTACAATCCGCTGCAGTGCTTTGCACCGCGTGTTTACGTCTTTCTTCTGGACTAGTGAAAAACACGATAGAACATCTGGGTCTACATATCCACTCTTTACAGACTCAAAGGGATTCATACAAAAATAAATATTTGCAAATAAATACCCGATATAGATAACCTTTTCTTGGCAATCACTGTCTTTAAAGGTGTCTTTCCATGATATGTAATTTGCATACGCTATTATGAGCCTGTGCGTTTACGCCTTGAACATCCAGCTATCAGGGGTGCTGTAGATACAGTGTATGCTGTGTGTGCTAAAAATATTATAGTATGTAGACAAGAATATTTATTCTTCTGCATTTATTCGGAATGTGCTGCGCTTTGCAAATACCAATGCTTAGAAGTTGTACTTTCATGGCACTGCCTTATAAGGCAAGTATCTGTGCGCGCCTATTTCTCCTGCACTTCATTCTCATTGCATGTGCTTTCTTCCTTTTTACCCCGGGCTTTCTCTTCTTTTCTCACTTTAACTATCTTTTTCTTCACTGGGAGCGGATATGCATTGGCTATTAGCTCTGGGTGCTTTTGGATCACTTCCCTCACTGGAGATATTAGGTCCACTAAATAGTCTACAAGAGATGCCTTAAGATCGAGTGGATGAATAACTCCCTCTGCAAAATCTCCTGCAAGCTTCTCTAAGCTCTCATATGTGCGCACAGCATCAAGCTTCTTAATCACAACCTTGAATTCTGGAGCAGGACCGCGCAGGAAAGTATTGAAGACAAACTTGCCAATAAATGTAAGAACAGGATTTTGCTGAATGTTTCTCTCCTCGCAGAAAGCCGCCAGCACCTTCTTTTTGATCTGTGCATTTGTGTCCTCAAGCCCTATTTTTGACTGCGCATCGCTGCTGCTCATCTTTCCGTCGGATAGACTGGGAACCATCTGATTCATCAGGTGAATTCTTTTCTCATACCCAAGCTTAGGCATCACATCCTCTGCATATATAAATATTTTCCTCTGGTCAACTCCTCCAAACTGCGCATCCACACCCAGATACTGCTCGTCAAGGGCCTGCATTCCTGGATATACAAGACCGCTCAGCAGAGGATTGTCTGTCTGCTTCACCACCTCAGAGCCTGCTCTCTTTGCATCGTTAACAGAGACCACCATGGAAAGTTTGTGCATGTCCAGCACATACTCCTTGTTGTACTGGTACTCAGTTCCTCGAACAAATCGAATTTTCTCAATGGGCGCTTCCACGCTGACAAGCATGGCCTTAATCACAACCTCGTAGTACTCAGCCCTTTTCTCAATAAGGTCAATTGGGGCCTTCAGATTATCAAGCGCAGCGTGCAGGTCTGCTATCAGAATGGTCACCTCGCACCCAGCTCGCAGGAAGTCTGCAATTTTTGCAATTGGAACAAAATACCCTATGTGGATCTTTCCTGTTGGTGCTGTTCCCCAGTACACCTTTAAGTCTCTTGTTTTCAAAATGCTCTGCAGCTTGTCCCCTCCCAGCACCTCTTCTAGGCTCCGCGAAATTAGCGTGTATTTCTGCTCTGGCGTAAGTGTCATTGTAAAAAATAGAGAAACAGAGAAAATTTTATTGCTACATTTCTTCTTCTGATAGTTCTAAGTCTTCACTTAGCTCCTCTTCCTCGTCTGGGAAATACACCTCTTCCTGCCCCTGGGCTCGGATATAAGGAAGCGAAGCGTCTTTGCTCTGGGCCTGCTCTTTAGACAGAAGCGAGCTTTTTGTCTGCTTCTCTGGCTCTTTTGCGCTCTTTTTTATTTTGTGGGTAACTTTATGGGTTGCTGCATCCACAATTCGCTCTACTTCGTATGTTTCCCTCTTTTTGGTTTTTTTATTAACAATTTTGATAGTGCCACCCTCTACGTACACTAGCTCGTTTGTGTAGTACTTGATCATTTTGTACTCTTTCTCGTCTAGCATCTCTCGGTGGAATACATACACCACACTCTCCACATCCCGCATTGCAATAAGTATTTTGGGGCTTATATCCTCCAATAACACATACTTCTTGCCTTCCCTAGGTGCATTATACGACCTTCCCAGAACCTCCTCTATCCGAACCTCGTAGCAGATGGATTTGTAGAGCTGGGACATGATTGCATGCGCTGGAACACTATATGTATCAACTAATACAGTCATAAGCACAAATTTTTTATCATGGCGAAATTTAATTTAATTATTTATTCTTGCTCTTTCTCAGTATTCGTGTCTTCCTGCTGAGCATCTTTTTATCTTTCTTTGAAATTTTGTTTTCTCTCTCCTTTCTCTTTTCCTCTTTTACTTCTTTTCTTCGAGCCTTCTTCTCACTCTGCGACAGAACAGCCGGCTGCTCTCTCTCCCTTGTGGAGCGCACAAGTATACGCATGTTCTGCAACCCTTCTGCCTCAGCAGCACCGGCATCTCCTTCTATTTCGGGGGTTGGCGACTTAAGTATGCTTTCGCTTCCAACCAGCTCTCTGAACATCTGATAGCTGTCCTTCACCTCTGCGCCAAGCCGAGAAAAATAGTTGTTTACGTTCCTGATGTCCATTCTAAGAAACTCATTTGCATTCGGGTGGTCTCTCTCAACACTCTGACTTACGTCTATAATATAGACAGTATCCCGCCAGTACAGCATGTTGTACTCAGAAAGATCTGCATGCACCAGCCCACTTTCATTGTAGAGCTTTTTAATCAGCTGGCAGACCTGGCTATATGCATCCTGCAGCCTTTCTCCCCGAAGACCTGCGTTTTTCAAATTAGGCGCAATTCCCCCTATGCTTCCGCAGTCTACAGTCTCATAGAGACTCTCTTCACTCTCTTCTTTGCAAGACACACTCTCTTCCTCTGAGCAGTCGCTAGGCAGGCTGCTGTTTTCTATGTCAGGCCTGTCTTCACGATTTTTAGAGTCTGAAGACATGCTTTCGCTGCACTCTTCATGCTCTTCACTGCTGGTCAGAGCCCCTTCTGGCACGAAATATTCGGTTTTGCCATCGATGTCCTCGATCATACTATCCTTGATCTCCTGCACACTCTTTCTGTCCTCTGTGCTGGCTGAAAGGCTGCCGCTCGTTGTTATGCTGATGTCTGCCAAGCCATCCTCACTGCTTTCATCATCCGTGGTTGGGCAGAGGTTTTTTTCCTCTTCATTGCTTGTAAAGATGAGGCTTTCAGTTTTATCGCTTTTTGAGCTGCTGCTTTCATCACTGTACCCGCTTCTGCGTAAGGTTTCTCCAGAAAGCTCGTCATCTGAGTTGCATTCAGACACTGCATCTGCAGGCTTGCTGTCCGCATCTATCTTTATTGATTTCTGCATCTGCACGCTGTCCCCAATCATTGTCATAATAAGAATGTTTCTTCGAAGAAAAAGTGGTCTTGGGGATGGTATTCCTGCCTTTTGCAGTCGGTTCAGATTTCGAACCTCCTTTTCAGCCCAAATCTTCACAAGCTTTCGCGAATTCCCCCGCGGATACTGCCGAAACCTTCTTTCTCCAAGCACATATCGCTCGCGATCCTTAAATACCATTGTAGAAGTCTTGTATATCTTTATCACCACTACTATAGGCCTTGTATCCGTGACTTCCTCCTTTTTACAAAGCTTGCTCCATATGCTAGGCGAGGCAGTTGCAAGATAAATGCACGCCTCCTTTCCCACGCTCACAGCTCCGTGCATTTTAAGAAGCATGCCCTGCTTTAGAAGCTTTTCCAATATTTCTAGAGTTTTTTTGTCCAGCGCAGTTGTCACGGTCTTCCTGTCATCGATGTCTCTTTTTCTCTTTTCGGTCTTGTGTGACTCCTTGTACTTCTCCATAAAGATAAAATATTCTATTCTGCATATGGAAGAAGAAGAGCAATTATTTCGCCTATAGACTCCTCTGTCAGCCGCTCCTCCAGCTCCTCCACTATTACGTAAAGATCGAGTATTTTTTTTGGCGGCGCATTGAGAAGCTGCACAGCCTCAAACTCTGTAATACCGAAAGAAAGCAGCTTTTCCTTCAACTCTACTGGTGCATGCGGTGCACTGATTACTGACTTCACTGCATACTTCATAGTCTCTATCTCTGTACACTTTTTACTTGTTTGACACTTCTTCAGAAGATTCTTCACCTCTCCATATGTTAATAATACATCCTGTGCCTTGTTCATTTTTTTAAGCTACCAAAGTCTTTTCGCATTTATATTCATAGCCCAAAATCCGCATTTAGTTTTATTTTTTTGCAGAGGCACTGCCCTTCCCTGTAAAGAAAGCACACTTGTATTTTCCTTTTGCGCTGCTGCGCAGGATGCCATGGAGGGTTTATTTTTAATGTTCTTCTACTTCTCAAGGTTTAGTAATTCTGTTTGCTAATGTGTGCTCTGCTATTTGTGGGAATTTTAGTATACAAATACATTCTGTTTGGAACCACATCTTAGAAACCATACTTAGAGCTTCTGCAAGAAGAGCCAGATACTTCACAGCAGCTATTTTTCTTAAATAGCCTAAGGCCACTCTAAAACGAAAAACATCATTGTATATTTTATTGATAGAGACTCTTTAAGAATTCACGAAGGTCTTTTGGGGCCTGCGCGCGCAGGGAGGCGCACGAAATTCTGTCTCCTACACACACAGTGTACGCTCCAGGCGTATTCAGAAGAACCATAAACATGTCCTCATCTGTTGCGTCATCTCCTGCACACAGCGTAAATTCAGTGGAGCGCGGCTCTTTTTCAATACAGGATCCTTTGTCCACGCACTTAGGACGCACCTCAACAATGTTCTTGCCTGTAACAATTCTTGCGCGGGTTCCTAGTATTCTCTGCAAAGCATTGGCACACCACTTTCCATGGTCCTTGCAGTGGAAGACCACGCATGTATTCTTCACCTCTATGGATGACCCAGGCGTGTAGCTTACATATTCTTCAATTATCTTGATTGCCGCCGGCTTCCAAGAAATATCACATGGTATTTCTCTCCATGCTCCATTTTCTTTTTTATACGTTCCATGCTCTGCATATATCTGGATGTCAAGGTGGCCAAACCACTCCTCCGCCTCCTCTCGGCCTCTGCCTGTCACTATAAACACGCTGTTTTTTTTGTCCTGGGATAGCGTGTGCAGAATGTCCAGTATTTCTTCTGTTGGCTTTGCATCTCTTGGGTTTGGAACTATCTCTGCCATGGTTCCATCATAATCTAAAAAGATTGATCTTGTTTCTGATTGAAGATATGCGCTTCTTATGCTCTCCTGCTCTGTCAAAATGTCTTTCAAAAGATGCTTTGGCACTTTGTGATTCTCCTCTTCCACAATTGGGGCATAAACTCGCAGTGTGCGGTGCATATGGTGCATCCACTCCTCCATACTCTCCAGCACATCCATTTCTCTAGCTGTGTCCTCCAGTGCACTTTTAATCACCTCTGCAGTGATGTTTGGGCAGTTGAGCGTGTACAGCGCGTGCTTAAATGCAATGCCAGAGGAATACGGTGCAATAAGCCTTCCCTGGGGATTGCTGCATATGTACTCTGAGGCCACCAGTGACATAGAGTCTGTTGGAGATCCAACAATGCAAACATCTGCCAGTTTCAGCAGTGCGAAGTACAGGTATGTTGACGGGAAGATGATTGTTGTAAACCGGGTGGGGTGCTGCGAGGCAATTGTCTCTGCCAGGCCTGACAGCTCCGTGCTATGAAATGCAACACTCTCTCCGTACACCACACATCTGATAAAATCCACCTTGCTATTTGGATTTCTTTTAAGATACTTCAGCACAGAAAGAAGGTTGTGCGCAGGCGCCCCAATCTTCCTTGTTGTTTCTGCCACAATCACAAGCTTTCTATCCTTTTTTGTCTCTTTTATTTTTTCTAGAATCTCCGTGCATTGTTTGCTGGCAAGCACTTCTGCTATATAGCCAGAAGGCGCATGCTTTGGTGTGACAGACACTAGCACTCTAGAGTTTTCCACATAGACCACATATGTTTTGTGGACTTCCTCCTTGGATAGGCGCGCCACAGTGGGCATAGTGTCGTCCAGATACTCTTTCACCGCCTGCTCGTCACCATCATTGACCCCAATTTCCTCTGTCAGCCTGCCATCCTCAATGTCTAAAAATGATGTTCTGTATGATGTGGTCAGCATTGAAAGCATATCCTTTTTGTCCTCTTCATAGGGCAGCATATGACTGTCCTGCTTGCTTTTCTGCGCTTCAGCCTCTCTATCCACAAACACAAGACTTGAGTTTCCTCTAATCATCTCTAGGTTTTTTTCTGTTATTTCCTTTGTCTGGGCATTTACTAAGAGGAATGCAGTCGAAATGAAGTTTTCAAGGTAGTCTGCACTTTGAAGCTCCAGCCTGTCGCACATCAACATTGAAAGAAGAATCTCCTTTGAATATGGTATGCAGCTGAATAGCTCGTATGCTGGGAACGGGCACAGGTACACTAGAATGATCTTGGCCAGCGGAAACTCCTTCCGGATAAGGCCAGGCAGCATTAGAAGATGCTTTCCCAGAATTACGACTGTGTCCTCGTGGGTGTATACTTGTTTCAGAACTGCCAAAAACTCTTGGTTGAACCCAAGATAGTCATTGTATGAGTCCTCCAGGTCTTGAGGATACAGCGCGCTCTTTCCTAGCGAGTGATGGCATGCCTGCGACAGATGCTGCGAAAATACCAAGTCCATAGGCCGCTTGCTTGTTTTAACCGGCATAAACTTAAACTCCGTTGGCTGCACTGTTTTGTATGCGGGCATTCCCTCTGGGTGGGGTATTCCAATAAAGGTAGTATGCTTTCTTTTTTCAGGACCCATGCCGTACAAAATAGATGCCCCAACAGAAGAGTAAGAGGGTGCGTAGAATCCAATGTTTCCGTCTCTGCAATGAATTGGAAGGTTTCCAGATAGTATAATTGTGTTTCGTTGATTGTCCATATGAAAATAAATAAAGACTCCTATTTAATTTAAATTATTTCCCTAGCAATGTGCTGGATATAGCTCAAATCACATCAAAGAAAAAATAGGCATACTGCTGCACACAGAGAATACCGCATGATACAATATATCTTACTAGAATGAAGAGGTAATATGAAAGGCACAGCACAGTAGGATAGCCAAATCTGTCTGTAATGTGTTGCACTATTTGAAATTCGCTCTAGTTATGCTAGTTTTTTTAGATGCTCTCTTGAGATATGTGGCTGTATCTAAATTTCTGTGCTTTAGTTGGCTCTAAATTTACTGCCGAATTTCTATGCCTTATACATGTTGGTTTCTTATGGTTTCAGCTATTTTTTTCTTCTTGAAATATTAGACTTAGTTATACTAAATTGAATATAGCTTATTTCTCGTCTTTTATTTATAGACCTCCAAACAGCTGTAAATCAGTGTGATACCCTAAGAGCTAAATCTTATTGATAAAACATGGAAATAAAAGTATATATTATTATCAAATCACTATGATTTCTGCCTTAATGAAAAAAGTAAAGCTCCTTGTAGTGGGTTAGCCAATAGACAAAACTAGAAGGATATTTCCAGCATCCATCTATATTGCTGACCCGGAAAGAGAATTTCATGCTTTCATGGTAGAGAAAAAAGCATGCAGTATGGATAGCATTATTAGTTAGGATGCTTAATGAAATTCATAAATTAAATGTTCTACTCAAACTCGCTTATATAATGAACAGGTTACTCTCTCAGCCAAAGAGGAAGAAGATTTTGTGTTTTCTGTACACACTCCAGATGGTCTACTTTATTTCTTAGAAGATAGAATTGCTAAACTTTAGTCTCTATTAAAAGTAAAGTGCCTTGGCTGGTTTAGTTTTACACTTAGGTCTAAATTAATAAACCAATTGACTAATAGCACGCTGTTCTAACAAACATTGTCGTTTGTTGTTTTTTCATATACCGCACATTTAGCTGCGTTCGTGCTAGATCATGCACTACGCCTTATGCATATTTCCTTTATTCCATACTCTCTGCGGTTGTGGAATGCAGGGTCTTTGGTTTTTGCATATTCTTGATTTTCCTATGCTCCTCTGCTTAAAATAAAAATAAACATCTTCATACAACTATTTCTATGCACAGAACTTATAGAGTTTGTTTTTATACAACTGAGAAAATAGAATAAATATTAAAAAAAGTACACTTAATACATCGCATAGAGTATAAGAGCATAGTATAAGAGCATAATATAAGAGAACAAAGCACGCGTGTACAAAGAAAGCATGTACTATAAAATAGTGCACAAAAAGCATTCAAAAATAGTGTGTATGGTATTCACCATCAATACAGAATTGGAGAGAAAAGAAAGAAGCATAGAAACTCGCAGAAAGTTAAAACTGTAAATTTAATTTATTTGTTCTCAGGGACTAACAGTTAACATACGATGAACACAATCAGCCTTGACCAAACTAAGAAGATAACAACAGCCAATGCCATAAAGGCAAGAACAAATAGTTACACACCTAAACCATCAGCTAACAAATCATTCTTAAGCAATACTCTCTCTCTTATCGACTTCTATGCAACCACCAGCAGATTTCTGAACCAAGGAGCCGCAGTGTGCAAACAGAAAAAACATATATGTACCGCAGAATAGACGAAAATCAAAGTTAGAAAGCAGAGTGATTTATAAGATCCTTTATTATACATGAACCATAATATTTTCTTAAGCCATAATAGGTTAGGCATACTTCAGGTTATATGTTTGCAGGGATAACAGCAAGCAATCTTATATCGATAGAAGAGTTCTCTTTTGTGGAGCTTCTCATTGTTTTATATAAGAAAGTGTATCCTAATGAACCTAGGCTTCATGCTTTATAGAGTCTGCTGACGTCTTGGCCTTATCGTTTATCAGAGGGGTTGGATCATTTGCCACTTTCTTGTCTGCCACTTGCTCAGTTGCCACTTGCTCGGTTAGCACTTGCTTATTTGGCATGCTTGTGTTTTCTTGTGGGTTCTTGTTTCCTAGGCCATACATTTTTTCTATATCAGCAACCATCTTAATAGATTCAAGATCTTTGAGTTTATCAAATTCTTGCTTTTTCCAGTCAGAATTCATGCTATCAGTAATAGGCTCCTGAGAATTTATCGCAACACTATCGTTATTAGCAGTATCCGTGTTCTCTTTTATAAAAACATTTGAACTGTGGGGAACAGAGAAGCATTCCATAGATAACAGCTCTGGGGTAGCACCTCTTGTATTCAGCTCGCGCAAATCACTATTGGGCAGGCCTGTGCCTGGAATGTATCCAGTAGAATCATTCACATTTTGCTGATTATTTACATCATAGTTTTCAGATATTGGGCTAAGCAGCTGCTTGTTTCTTAATGCATGTAAGACATTTGGGTCTATAAAGTTCTGACTTCCTGGTGCAGCGCGCTTCATCTCAGCTAAGTTGTCGGAAGTTTGCTCTACTTCAGTGCTCTTTGTGCTGGGAACTTCATTTTTTTCAGACTTCTTGTCTTTTCCTATGTGCAGTGCTCTCTGGAACCAGTTTCTTTTCCCCTCCTTGTCCTTTGCTTTCTTGGAATTGTCGCCCACTTTGGAAGAGTCTATTGTTACAGAAGGCGTAGAAGCGCGGCTAAGGAATACATCATCAGCAACATCAAGCGCAGACTCCGTGCGCAAACTGTTATCAGTTTCAATTACTATCGGGTACTTGTGATGTAAACCCACACTGATCTCTCGGGGCTCTTTGCTTAGTAATTCGCTGTTATCCTGTAGTTCTGTATTCAAACTCATGCTGCTTATTCGAGATTCTCTATTAGAGCGGATGTTTCTTTGAGGTCTCTTTGCACGTGAATCTGCTATACTCATATCATCTACACTATCCTCTCTTTCAGCCTCAATAATAACAGGTAGGTTAGTTTTTATCTCTGGTTGCTCGCGCTGAACAGAAGGAAGCAAGCTGAATATGACTTCTTCGGGTGTATCTTTGGCCTTAGGCTTATCATCTAGAGACTTGCTCTTCAGATCCGATAGACTTAGGGGGAAGGGCTTGTTCTTTACTGCTAGTAAAGATCCTCTGTTCAAGGCCTTTTCTTTGTTGTATTCTGACATAACCACCTCTCGCACAAGCTTTGGGGTTCTTTTATACTGAATAAACATCTTAAACACCTCTACAATCTCGGGCTTTTCTAGAGAATTCTCTAAATACATCATTCCACCGCTCTTATTAATATCCCCTATAAAATATTTATGCAGCTCAAGTGTCCAGTCACGCACATCAATCATTTTCCAGTTCTGCAAGAACTCCTGCCTGCTCTTGAGTATGCCTGCATCAAGAATCTGCCTGCTTAAAACATTCCCTGCATTCAATATAAACGTCTTAAATGCATCTGTGTCCTCACTTACCACTAGGATTTCTTTATCTTTGACCTGCAGTCTCTGTGCAAAGTCTGGAGAGTTCATTGCAGAGACCAGGAAATATCCAGTCCAGTAGTTCTTCTGGGCTTCAACTATTCTTTCTTTTAGTTCATCGAGAGTCTTTTTTATATTAGCCTCGCCAGACAGCTTGTTGTTGGGGCTGTTGGAGTACTCCTGCAGTATTGTAGGAATCCACACAAGAGCGTCAAATGAGCTGATTCTCTGGGTCTCTACATACCACGACTCACTGCCAACCTTTTCTGGGGACTTGTCTATAAAGTCAAAGTAGTCTAAGTGCTTTTTTGAGTATCTAAGCGAGACAGTGTCCTCAATATCAAGCTTTAGCTGCGCATAGCAGTCTATAGGAAGATTCTTTTTTAAAACATCAATATAGAGATCGCTACCTGTATATGCATTCTGAGTTAAGTCTACTCTAGTGCATAGCACTGATCCTATAACATTCAATAGAAGGTATCCTCTTTTCATCTGTGTTTAGCCCTTTTTGCGCCTTATTTATATTTTGCAGAACGATCAATATTATTTTTGGAGAACAAATATAGAAATATTCAATTTTTCATTTTCTTGCATCCTTTGATCTGTGCTCTTTATACTTCTGGCTTCTGCAGAAGCTTAAACAATGAAAATATTATGAAAAAATAAAATAGAAAACTGTATGGATAATAGAACGTACATTAAAGACCTACAGCCAGGTGCCAACTCGTGCGTATTCGGGCTTCTGTTGACACACACGCCGCTTAGAAAAACAACAGGATCTGACTACCAGATGGTTTTGAACATAGTGGACGAGCACAGTGAAAAGCATGTGCCAGTGCTTCTATTTATGTCAGACCCTGAGTGTTTTCCCAAGTACATCATAGAGAACCAAACAGTTATCAAAATAACAAGGCTAACTGTAAAAAACACAAACGGCGGCACGCGCCTGCTGATTGACAGAAAGCACGGGTGCTTCTTTTTTGACGTCTGCAAGGGGCAGGTGAATCCTGTGCCGTACTTTTCCTGTGCAGAGAGCGCGTATGTAAGCAGTCTGGATGATTGGAAAATTTTGGACACTATTCGCAGGCACTTTATTCAGCAAATATCAATAGGGCCTGGAATGATATCTGGAGCATCCAAAGAAAATGCTGTTGTAAGCGTGTATGGCTATGTGAAGGATATTATGACGAGCCACGGATGGAATACACTGGTGCTGTGTGATCCAAGCACATACAAAGACCTCTATATTCGGGTGTGGGAAAGAGGTGTAGACATGCTGCCAAAAAAGCATACGTATGTCTGCATGTACAGCCTGAAGGTGAGAAAAAACAATGCTACACATATTACAGTGGATGTAAGTAAGAGTGCGCCCTTCGCGTGGACGTACAACATACCCAGCGACGTGAAAACACTGCTGTCCGCATTTACAACCATAAACACCAAGAAGTTTATAAGCGCGCTAGTGCATAAAATCAACAAGGTGACCTCAGAGAATAATGAAGCAGATGACTTGCTAGGCAGCGAAGGAAGGGAAGATCTCTCTGCCATACTTGGGGAAAACGGATCTAAGAGTGATCTAGCCCAATTTAGCGATGAAGCCATAAACGGGTGTTTTATAGAAGATAGCCCAGACTGCATAAGAGAAGGCAGAGAAAGTGTTTCTAGCGCTGTGTCTAGTGCAGATCACACGCAGCAGAGTGCAGATGACAGCACAAAAAACATTTCTGGAGAGCAAGACTTGCATAAATCGCAGCTTGTCTCTAATGAAATCATGCGCAGTCTTGGAACGCAGTCTACTGGCACTCCGTGCACTCCAGAGCATACGCTAGAAAAAATCATTCACGGGAAAGGGTACTTTATTTCGTTTAAAGAAACAGATAATCTGTACGACGAGATTATACAGATACCCATTAAGCCGTACTATATGAACAAGACAAACAGCACTGTAACATTTGACCAACAGGCTCTTTTCATGATGGATCCTGAAACACGAGAGAAAGAGCACATTCAAGTGCAGCACGTAGGCTTCTACAAAAAAGTGCCAATGATTTTCCATGTTTGCGCAAGAGCACCTGGGACTTTAGAGAACATAGCAGGGTTTATCACGCTGCTTCCCAGCAAAACACCAACTTTACATGTGTTTTTATATAAAAATCCAGAATAAAAGGCATGTAGTTTATTTCCTGCAGTAATATTACTATTCGTCGTCCCTTGGTGCAATATAGTAGCGAAGATATCCAACATTCATAACTGAGGTAAGATACACAGGCATGCCCATTGCCATGCTGAGAGTGATCTTTGCCCCCAGAGTTCCAAACTTGCTAAAAAGCGAGACGTACTTGTATGGTATGGAGAGCTCTGCACTTTCCTTTATCTCAATGGAGAAGTCCTTGTTTTCTGTGTTCTCCTGAACATCCTTGATCATAAACGACACTTCTGTGTTTCCAAACTCTGACCGCTGCTCAAACACAAACCCCTTCTCGGTTGCTGTGATTTTTAAAACCTCACCAAAGGCCCCGAGCGTCTTAACCACCTTCTGAAACTCCGGAGACATGAAAGAGATAACTGCAGAGTACTCCACGCTTGGGAAAGTGTACTGATCACTGCCCACATCAACTAGGTTAATGTGATAGCTGTACCGCTTTCCTTCGTCCTCGCAGACAATGTGCAGGTCTGTTGCCTCGTCGTTCGCGGATAGAAGCACAGAGAGGTTGTCCTCTACAGGCATGCTTCTGAAAACCTTGAGAATAAAGGAGAGTGGTATTCCCAGCACAAGGTTCTTGTCACACCTAAAGCTCTCAAATGCGGTGCTTTTGAGGAAAATGTCTAGCATGCTTACCTGCATGCTGTCCATGGCCTGGATGTAGATCCCTTCTGTCGTCACTTTCATCTCTAGCTGCTTTACAATTTCGTGCAGGCCTTCTAGAAGCTTCTTAAAGAACGAAAATGTGCACTTCTCATCAGTTGTCTTTTCTTCCTTTGGGTCTATGCTGCTTTTTCCTATTTTTAGTTCGAACATTCGTTAAAAAAATAATTATCGTTTATATATAGAATCCCATTACGCATTTCTTTCTAATAAACTGCTTTATTTATTACTAAGAGGTGTCAGCCCCCTATGAAAATGCTTTTTTCTGTTTCTTAAGCTCTGAAGTTTTCTCCTCCTGGTGCTTCCTCTTGTTCTGCACTTCTTCTTTCTGGAGTGGCTTCTTTTCGCTTGCGGGCTTGCTGGCTGCTTCTTCTACTGCTGCGTTTTCGCTCTTCTTATGGGTCTGTGGCCCAAGCTTCCACTGCTTCTGGTATGTGTCTTTGTTCATAATAACTCTCTTGGTCTTGCATACAATACCATGGTCCATCATGCTTAGCTGGGGAGACGTGACTAGAGCTGTTGCCAAAGCAACTGCCTCTCCCTTTGGCGAGACAAGCACAATTGTGTCTTTGTGATCAAAGTCTCCGTATCGAAGGACTCCCTTTGCAGTGAGCTGCCCTCCAAAGCAGATTGAGTTGATGCAGCTGTCTTTTATAATAATTCTGGGGTATCCAACAAGAAGAGACTCCAGAGGCTTCACCACTGCACGCAAATATGACTCGTCCATTTTGGTCTGGTGCAGGTGCATGGAGTCAAGGACATCGTGCATGGTGACCAGAGAGTCCTCGTGGACAGCTCCGCTTCTTGTTCTTCGCAGATCCACCATCTCCGACTTAACTCCCATATGCAGGCCTAGGTGCGTGCACAGTGATCGAATGTAAGTTCCTGCCTCGCATGCAACTCGGAACATTCCTAGCTGCTTCTCCTCATCAAAGTCAAGATACTCTACCTCAATGACTTTTCTAATTCTAAGATTCCTCTTCACAGCGCACTGCTCAGGGGGCCTCTGCAACAGTGGGCCAACATAAAGATTCAGTGTTTTTATGAACATCTCTTTTGTTATGCCCTCGTCAAACTTGACCACCCCCACATACTCCTTTCCTGCATCCTGCTGGCACTTTGCTATTCGCGTGGCCTTGTTTAGACACACAGGCAGGCAGCCCGAAACCATGGGGTCGAGTGTTCCAGAATGCCCGGTTTTTTCGCACCGAAGAATGTTTTTTATCCATGATACAATTTCGTGAGATGATGGGTTGCATGGCTTGTCCAAGTTTATCACACCATACTCCAAGTAGATATTCAGAGGCCTTTCCAGCGGGCTGTATCCGTATGAAGTTGGGGTGTATTTCAGAGACTTTATGTTCATGTCCTCCAGGCCCTTCAGCAGCAGTGGCCACTCGCCAGAGTGAGTCAGCTTTTCTCCGTTGTTGGTCATTAGCGCTTTCTTTGCTTTAATCACCATTGGCGAGTCTAGCTCTATCCCTCCGTCCGTTGCGTAATTAATTTCCTTCATATATAAAAAAAATTCGTGCGTAGTAATACCATGCACAGTGCAAAGGGCCCAGAGCTTATCTCATACTTAACAGAGGAAATGGAGGGCACCATTCAAGACTCAGCCTACTCCCCAAACGGAGAGATACTTGCGTGCGCGCTGGACTCCGGCCATTTGGTCTTCCACGACGCAGTAAGAAACAAGAGATATTCGTCTGTGGAAACGCCAAACGAAAAATCATTTCTGGTTGATTTTATAGATCACAACACTTTAGTACACACGGTTGAGAAAGATATGCGTGTGCTAAACCTGGAGAAGGGCGAGTGCACTGCTCTCTTTGCAGCGCACACCTCGCAAGTATACAGCATTTCAACCTCCTTGATGTTCAGAAACACAATATCTGTGGCGCACAACGAGGCGTATATCTGGGATGCCCGGGAAAAAAACCCGCATGCAAAGATACCAGTGCAAGGAAGACCCCTGATCAAGTACTCTCCAGACGGCCGGGTGTTTATGGCGCTGTTTGAGGAGAGGAAAGAGATGTGCTTGTTTGATGTGCGGTCTTATATGGGAGGGCCTTATAAAACAAAAAGGATAGAAATAGAAGGATACAGCGATGTGCATTTCTCACCGGACGGGTTTGGTTTTGCATTGGTGCAGAAAGATGGCTTCAGAATTGCAGACGGGCTCAGCGGAGACATAACCATGCATCTCCCAAGCGAAAACAGCACAGCAGGCTGCTTCTCGCAAGACAGCCGATCATTTATATATGCAACAGGCCCAAATGAGATCTCAATGGCTACAATTCCAGAAACAAAGGGCGCGCCCATTTTCACCCACAGCAGCGACTGCCCTATCACTGCACTTCACTACAACCCATGTTTTGAGCAGGTGGCAGTTATTCACGGGCAACTCACGTTCCTGCAGAATTCAACGTAGTGCTTTATCTGGCCATGGTAGGCAGATAGCGCAGACCATACGTGTGTATTGTAATATCACTAAAATATGCACAACTTGAGTATCTTGGGCAACAATGGCCCAAATTTCGTATATATCGCTAGTAAACAAGAAAACCGTCAAATAAAGATTTTTGTTCTATGCGAATTATCTAGCTAGGCCAGGCTTTCTATCTGTGGGCCTTGCCCATTTATGTCTCTGTGCATCACATAATAAGAGACACTAAAGTTATATAAAACTTTAGGGCTCACATAAAAAGATGCTGCTGCAGGCAGAGACAGGGCAGTGATGGATTTATGTATAGCTAGACAGAAATAAAGCAGATTAGTCTTTATGCGCACATTTTGAGAAATATTTTGTTTGCAGCTATGCATAGAGTGTATAAGCAGGCATTATAAATATAAAGATTTATTTGAATAGTCGAAATAAGACATTATTCACACGTGCACAAGACACGAAGGACAGCATATTAACAGAGGTGCAGAAGGGCACAGGAAGAATAAAAATAAGATAGGATGAGGTATTAATCTTAGTTTGCAGAGGGGTAGAACAGCATGATAGTGTTGTATTGGCATAATATACAAAGTAACAGCCTGGAGAAGGCGGCATGTACACGAAATAGCAGTGTATAAAGAAAGAAAATATATAAGGTATTCTAAGAGGAATTAAAAAAAAGTTGCTTTGTACCTATCTTAACAACCAATTAGGCAGGCTGCGCAGTTATCTATTGTAGCCATTATGATTATAGTTATTTGGGCTGTAATTATTATTCTGGTTATAGTCGCCCGCTGGTCTGTAGCTGTTCGGGGATTCTTGGTTGTTTCTATAATCATTATTAGGGTTATACCCGTTGTTGGCAGAGTTATTTCTGTGGCTGTCATAGTACTGGTTTCTATTATATTCATGCGGACCTGAATCCTGGTTGTAGTCATTTCTACCTGGACTATTCTGCATCTGGGAACCATTTGGATAGTACCCACCATGCGAAGGCCTATTTGGATCGTTATTCTGGGGATAGTCGCCTGAATGCCCGCTGTATGGGGGATTTGGGTTATACCTGTCTCTGTTGAAATACTGCCCTTGTGTGGGGTTTGCTGTGTTTAAAACAGATATCACCATGTCAATGTCTTTCATTACCACATTAGACACCTGATCAACCCGTATTTCATTGCGGAATATTTGCATGTATACATCTCGCATTTGTGCCTTTACCTGCTCAGAAATCTGATGGTGCTCGCTGTCCTCCAGAATCTGTTTTATGATAAGAAATATGATGAAGCCGCGGGTATTGTTTGACTCAATCAGAAAGATGTTCTGCGGAGGCCTTTCTCGCCCACGCGAATATCCCTGTGCCTCCATGATTGCGCTCTGTATGGTTTTGATTGTGCTTTCCGAAACAGGCGAGTTCTCTAGAAGGGAGGTTTCTATGCTGGTGTACTCTATATTATGCGGTGTGACTTTTTGGTTTCTTACAAATATTTTTTCTATGCTAAACTCCTGCTTCTGCGCATTATACACAATAAGAGGAGTTTTTTCGTATCTGCCAGAATGCGGAATTGACTTAATAAAGCTTTTGACAGTCGGAGGCGCACATATATTCTTGCTTTCGCACTGTTCAGAGGAAGTGTACATGCACTTATTGTCTAGAAGGCAGAGAGTGCCTTCTGTGCACATGGGGTGAAGAAGATGCTCCTCGCTTACCCGAATGATAGGTATGTCACTGATGGATATGTGGGTGATTTGGGTTGATGTGGTCTCTCTCTGTGCTTGTGTAACCATGTCTGATAGTGCGGAGAGAGTAAGCGGGCTTACAAGAATAGTGTCTGTCACGTTAAGTTTCTTCAGTGGATTGTTGCTGTTTTTGTCCTCGCTTGGAACGCCTTGCTTTGGAAAGTTGGAAAATTTTCGCATCTTCTTCTCATCTGGGGGACCGTACGAGACAATATATGGGACAATTTTATTAGACCGGAGCGAGCAGTACATTGGGCCGGACGCAGTGTCTTCATATCTATCTGAGGTATACCCACTACCATTGTTTGGGTATGAGTTGAAGTTGTTCGAGCCACTTGTATTTTGCATATCGGGTTCTGCATCATACTGAGACTGCGGCGACTTTGGCCCCATGAATTTGTTTTTCACATTATTTAAAACCGTCTGCGGTAGCGACTCATACTTATCTTGCACCTTATTTAGGATATCACGCATGCTGTATGAGATCGTTGGAGGAGCGTCATTATCATGCGGAGGGCGATAGCTGCTATTTTCATCGCTGTTTCTATCTGAAGGTGATGTGCACCTGCCATTATGGTCTTTTCTGGAGGGATACTTACAGACCATGTCTTCTCCATCCCCGTGCCGGTGGTTGTACCCTTCTCTGTATGGCTCGCTGTCTGGGCTGCGCACTCTGCGTCTGTGTCTTGGATATACGCTTCCTCTACCGTGTGGATGGGCAGCTCTTTCTGTGAAGTAGCTTTGTATGCAATGGTCCTTTGATCTGTGAAGATTTGAAAGTGTGCCCTCTTGTCTAATGTGCGTCTGGAGCCTTTTAATAACTTCCTCTGGCAAACACTCCCGCATGTATGGGCCATGCATGTCTGAGGCCCTATCTTCATTAAACTCTTCCTCTTCATTTCTTGGTAGGTTGCTGTTATGTCTATGGTGTTCTGAAGCCCACCTCGAAGCATGCCTACTGTCATCTATCCCAAGCCTTGAAGGGTGCCTGTGGTGGTCTCTGTCATGTTCAGCGTGCAGCACGCTCAGTATAAGCATAGTAATAAGAGTACTTTTCATTATTTTCATATCTCTATGGTACATATAAACACTGTTTCAGATTTGCCTGCGCACGCACAGCAAAAGAAGGTCTAAGACTTTTTAATTTCATTCTATATGCATCTGCTGTCTTTGAAGAGAAAGCAAGCCTATTCGCATGCATAGCTACATGCCTAGCTACATACAAGGATATCTGGCAGAAAATAGACATAAGCATGCAAAGTAGTAGGATACACAATAAAAACAGAATAATCTTTTTGTAAATAAATATTCTGAGCTGCAATACATGATGGCCTTCTGGATTGACACTCATACTCAAAGATTTTTTGATAATTTCATATCGCAGAAGAGAGACTTTAAAAAGCAGAACAGCTGTAAGAAAAATAATACATGCAGTATTTATTCCATACACATACACACTTGTTTATCCATCTAGAGAATGGGTGTGATGGTCACATTATGAATAGATGAAGTGTTGTCTAGGAAGACAACGTCTGCAGTAAGGCGCACCTTGCAGAACTCAAGGGAGCCGTAGAGCTCTTCTTTGCTTTTAAGCGCATGCATATTCATTATTCTGCTGGTGAGGTGCACATAGGCCTCTTCGTCTAGTGTGACACTTATACCGCCTTTTGAGTTGAAGATGTGTATGCTGTTTTTTTCTCTGGAGATGCGAAAGATTCTCCCATCCAGAATAATAGAGCAGTCCTTTTTTATTTTGTCTATCTCGTCAACTGACTTGATAGTAACCCTTTGCATTTCTAGCTTTTTACGGATTGCATTAATTCGTTTGTCGGCAACTGGCGTGTTTACTTCAATATTTGAGGCACTAAGAGCCTGTACTGTCCGGTTTGTGAGATTCACTTTTATATTTGACAGTAAAATAATGTCTAGGTGTTTTATAATGTGTCTATCGGATAGAAGTGTGAGCTTAAAATATCTGTTGTGCGCGTCAACGCAGTGCACCACGCATCGGTTCTTTGGGCATACGAGCTTCACAACAAGCACTATGGCAGGAACTACTTTGTTCTTTCTTTTCTTGATAGAGGTGTATGAAAAGAAGCATGTTGTGCTAGGCTCAAACACAGGGGCAGGCACATACAGCGGGTTCAGTATTTTTACATTCCGCACGCATGCAAATATGTGCTCTGCTTTTGGGGTCTTTGCATGTCCCTGGATGCTTATTACATGCCCAATAGATATAGAAGAAAAGATATTTTGCTCCTCAGTTGGAGAAATTGATGACACAGTAAAGGTAACAAAAGATATTTTCCCGCCGTTCTGCAGAACTGCCTTTGTTGTACTGATGATGTGGCAGTTTAGCACTTTCTTTGGCAAGAGCTCCAGCCTAACTATAAGCCCCACTACCATTGATAAAAGATAATCAAATTTGTCTTTATTTAAATGATTGAATTAATCTTGCTTTATAATCTGCGAAACAAAAGACTTTTCCTCTGTGGTTATGTCGGATACTACAGAAGGCGGGGGAGCATCCTGCCTCTTCAGAGAAAGTTCACACAGTGTGCTATTTACAAGCGTAAAGTGCTCTGAAAAGAAGTTTAGAAGAACCGCCAGAAACTCTGTGCACGGAATGCCAGCCACTATGCACTCCTGAAGAAGCCCTGCAAAATAGAGAATGACCAGATCCTGCGGAATCTTCTCCTTTCTATACAGAATGCCTGTAACATGGCTGTCCACATCCCCCAGAAACTCATCAAACGAGCCAGACGCAATGAAAAGAGAAACAAGACTGCCTGCACACGTGTGGATTAAGGCGCTTTTCTCCAGCGAGATACTTTCGTGCACCACACAGATTCCTCTGGAGAAGAAGGTTTTGCACTCCTGGAGATCTGTCCGCATCGCGTACTTCGCCTTCAGTATATTCACAGACGTCTGGATATTTCCAACGCTGTTGAGAACAGCTGCATATTGCTTATAGCAGTCAATTCTGAGAAGCATTCCCCGGGTGCCCGCCAAGGGAGCCATCTGCCGGCACATGAGAATAATTGTTTTGGCGGAGGTCTTCATGAAGGCAATGCTCTCGTGGGTGACCTCTCTATTTAGATCGAGAATAGAGTCTGTGGCTATTGCCTTTGACAGCAGCATGCCAAAGAACTCTCTTTCAATCATGCAGCACATTTTTTCTATGTACCGGCTAGTGGTGAAACTTCCCATGTTTTCCGACCAGAAATGCTTCATCTCCTGGTACCCCTTCATATAGTTGTACTCAAGAAAAAAGTCCAGGGCGTCCTTGTGCATCTTTCCATAGTTCTTCACAAAGAGCTTTTCGGAAAGAGTTTCTTTGTCTACGCTAAGAGCGCCTGAGCCCTTGACTGCCACCCCAAAGTAGTGGTACTTTGAGTTTCCGCGGTTTCCAAGCCGTCTACTGCGAATAAAAGGAAATGCCATCTTAATTACCTTTCCAAACATGGCGGTATTCAGCGGCTCAATCCCCTTCTCCTTGAAGTCATTGCAGTAGTGCTGATAGATAATGCATCGCGGAATTGAGTTGTCTTTGCATGGCGCATAGTTAAGATTAAGCCAATTGGTTATCGGCTGATTCATGCTTTCTATGAACATGTCTATGTTATTGTAAACAATGCGGACGGACTTGCTTATAGAGATTCAAATATTTATTTATTTTGCAGACGTTCTATTCGGCTAAGATTAAAAAGGCCTTCTGGGCCCACCTCTTCTCTTCTAGCACTCTCTTACAGAACGCAAATCATATATATATTCTTAATTTGATATAAATATACTCCTTCAATTGAATACATGCAAGCCTGTCATTAATTTAAAACTAAAATTACACTTTATTTGTCCATAGGCAGCCTATCTAGCACATTAGCCACTCTTCTCCTGTGTGTCCTCTACTTTGCATGCCTTACAATCCACTCCTCCACAGCTGCAAAGTTAGACAGTGTTAGTGAAGAGATCGAGTAGCACGATATGTCTTTCCCCAGAAAAGAGTCCAAGCTCAGCTGCAGCGCAATGTCCTGGCAGCTTGTAAACCCATCTATGTCGTTGTGTGTGCACAGGATGAGAATGGGAAGCTTCTTTCGCTTGTTTTTATTAAGAAGCCCCTGCAGCATTGACTTTGCGTCAACAAAGCTCTGTGGGTTGGATGAATCTACAAAGAAAATAAGCGCATTCGAGTTTCGGTAGCTAAAATCTCGAAGGTTGCTGTACTCTGCAGCCCCGCCTATGTCAAAGAAGGTTCCCCGAATTCCATTCTTTGTGAAGTGCAGCATGCGAGAGCCAATTGTTACAGGCTCTTTTTTCAAAACCTTTCTATCTGTGAAGGCTTTATAAAAGGATGTTTTTCCAGATCTGGAGGGCCCGCATAGACATATCTTTATTTTCTTTCCAAAAAAATAGTAAACTAGACAATTTTTTGTCTGCACAATGCAGTCTGCAATGCTCATTTTTCTTTTAAAGAAACTCCGAATTTAAGCAAAAATCTGACCAATAGGAGAATATGCACAGCTCTGGTGATCTTTTATGTTTTTATTTTACAAAAAATAATGAATAGCATATTTATAGCCATTGTTGTTTGCATAGTGGCCTTACTTGCAGCTGTGCTGGCCTTTAGACAGCCGCCAAAGAAAAGAAGGCAAATTGTTATAATTGGAAAGAAGGGCACAGGAAAGACCCGGCTATTTTTAGCTCTTTCCAATAAAAACAAGGAGGGCATTCGGACGATTCCATCTGTCGATCCGTCTAAGGAATTATTAGGGCGCGCTGCGGTGCTTGTGGACCTTCCAGGGGCAGACTCCTTTGAGAGTCTCAAAGACACATGGACTCTTTCCAGCAGAGACCTCATTATATACATGCTCAACAAAAAAGAAGATGAAAACCCAAAGGGTGTTGATGCATCCATACCCATTTACAAAATATACACGGGAAAGGATGAGCCGTGGTCTCATGCAATTAAATGCATGTGCATGGAGGGTCTACTAAAAGCAGACCTAGGATCTTCAGAGATACAAAGTGTTCTGTCTAAAATACTATAATAAACATGTTTTATATACCAACCAGATACATTGAGTGTGCTGTGTGTCTAAGCGGAAGAGTAGAAAGTAGCGTATTTTGTAAGTAGCCATTTACTATTCCTTGGCATACTGGGCTTGGGCACTCATTGAGTTATCTAAGCATAGACTTCACTCGAAGACTTTTAAAGAATATAAAGTTCTGAATACTTTTTGTAAATATGAACATGTGCCCATAAGACACATTTAGGCAAAAGTGCTATAAATATTTGGCATAGAAAGCAGAGATCACTCTAGTCCAAACAAGATATCTTAAGAAAGCATGCATCTAGTTTAAAGTACACCTTCATCTAATTCCTAAGTAAAGCCTGCATAAACTATAAAGTGCTATGCATCCCTGTTTATTCTTTTTCTCCCAGGCCTTTGCATCTTCTATGAAAAGAGAGGTATATAGTCCAGCCTGTTAGCGTGAACAGAAGAATAAAACAGCGAAGACATGCTTATGTTTGCACTTGCATGGCAGCAAACTTAAATAAAATACGTTGTGTTGCAAATTTTTTATATGAAGAGCATAGCCACTGTGCCCACAGCAGAAGTGCTTATAGACACATGTCTCTCTCGAACAAACAGAAGAACCCCCACCGAAATACATAAACACTACCAAATTGGAAGAATTAGAGAGTTCTACACACGGAAGGTGAAGTTTACCTCCTCTATGTACGTGGACAAGCTAAACGACATTATTAACTCTTTCCCACGTGTTGACGAGGCGCACCCCTTCACTTCAGATCTGATAAACGTGCTGTACGACAGAGACCACTACAAGATGGCGCTGGGCCACATTAAGACAGTTGCATCCTCCATTGCCCGAACAGAGAAGGAGTACACAAAGCTGATCAAGTACGGAGACTCTTTATACAGATGCAAGCAGCTGAAAAGAGCTGCTCTGGGTAAGATGTCCACGATGGCCAAGAAGCTGTCTAAGACTCTTGTGTATCTTGAGGAAGTCAGACAAAGCATCATGCGCATGCCAGACATTGATCCAACCACGCGTACTCTCTTGATCTGCGGATACCCAAATGTGGGAAAAAGCAGCTTTATGAACACAGTCAGCCGTGCAAAGGTTGATGTGCAGCCATATGCCTTCACCACAAGAAATCTATATGTCGGGCACTTTGACTACAAGTACCTTCGATGGCAGATAATTGACACGCCTGGTGTCCTGGACCACCCCATTGAAGACATGAACACTATTGAAATGCAAAGTGTGACAGCACTTGCCCACCTGCGTGCAGCAATTCTGTACTTTATAGATATCAGCGAAACATGCGGATACTCGGTAGAGATGCAGGTTGGTCTTTTTAGGAGTCTTTCTCCTCTGTTTGAGGGAAAGCCTGTGGTGTTTGTGCTAAGCAAGTCTGATGTCAAGAAGTTTGCAGAGCTGGACAGCGAAAGACAGGCTCTGGTGAGAGATCTGATAGGAGACTGCCCAAGTGTGGAGATATCTTCGCTTGAGGAGTGCAACGTTGATCTTGCAAAGAACACAGCATGCGAGCACCTTCTTACCCACAGAGTGGAGCTGAAGATGCAGGAGAAGCGGCTGGAGGACTTCAGGATATTCCTGGATATTAAAAAGCCAAAGATTGACCCAGAGTACAAGAGAGTTATGCAGACTGAGGAGTTTGGACAGAGAGAGTTCACACAGAGCGATCTAAGAAAAAAGGCAGAGGAGCAGGGAATCAAGTTCTTCTCGGACTTGAATGCGCAGTACTTTATAAGAGATGAGTGGAAGTACAACCCAATTCCAGAGATATTTAACGGAAAGAACATTGCAGACTATGTTGACATAGATATAGAAGCCAAGCTCCAGAAGCTGGAGGAAGAGGAGGACTACTACATGCAGGAGGTGTATAACAAGGAATACGCTCTGCTGGATAAGTCAGAGTGCGATAAGAAGCAGAGAATTATGAACTCAAAGATTCTCAAGAGACTGAAGGGTCTGGACAGAGAGAGAGAAAGCCTTCCACAGCGCATGAAGACAACTGCTCTTTGCAAGAAGAGAGATGCAATTGCAAGAGAGAGCTCAGCAGCTCCTCCAATGGAGATAGATGACCCAATGGCAGAGAGGCTGAAGCCAGCCCAGACAAGAATTGTCCCACTTACAAAGGATGAAGAAAGACGCCTGGCCCGCAGTGACAAGCACATTAAAGACAAGAAGCTTAGAGGAAGAAGAGATGACCGAGACAGAGTACACCTTACTGAAAGGCCCATGCATCTGTTTAGTGGAAAGAGAACAAACGGAAAAGCACAAAGAAGATAAATTTAATAAATCCACCATAATAAGTACTGAACAGCATTCAGCCAAACTATGCTCTGCACTCAACAGCATGGCTCATATACCAAGCTTGCACTTCTTTGCACATGCAGCAAATCCACATATCCAGAAGACAACTTCTAGTTCAAATATTCCGCATGATACCTGCTTCTGTAAAGGTTTGCTTTTCTTGCAGCATCCATGGCTTAAGCTAAAACCTCTCATCTTATGCAGAGTTCTTGTTTTAAGCTGGTGTTTTGTGAGGATGAATTAACAGCATAATGTATTCATTCTAATGTGTACAGAACTATTTGTCATTCAAGCTATAAAAGTCTTCCTTATAAGCAATACGAATAAGCATACAATGAAAAATACGTGCGAGCATGCATTTTGCAAATATATAGGCACACTTTCACTAAAAACATAGGTTGGCTGTGCTGGAAATAGACTATACACACTCTGGTACTGCTAACTCAGTTAATACTGCTATTTTGCGGGGCATGCAGTCTTGCTATTTAAGGAATGCTTTCAAGCATGTAAAGCTTTTCTGCAACCATTGATGTTAGAAGAGAGTCTTTTCCTGTGAATATGTCCTGTATAACATCTGCTGGATTCTGTACATCTTTAATCTGCTCTATTATGCTGTTTGTTTTTCTATATGCGACAACTAGGCTCTCAGAGTCTATTTTCCCACTGACAGGCAAATTCTCTATTTTAGAGAGAAGCATTCCAGACAGATACAGCATGGTGTGTTTAAGCAAATTATGCAATATTTGTGCATGCAAATCAGCATCCTCCACTTTAGATACAAACTCAATGAAGTGGTAGATCAAGTGCTCTTTTCTTTGAGCAATTGTGCTGTCCAGAAATCTCTCAAACAGACTAAAGTCCTGCACAAGCAGCCTACTTAGAGAGTCTGCGCACAGAAATTGCCGAACCTCCGTGCGATCTATCAAGCTATACAGCTTGCAGGTATTCCTCTCATCAAGAAGCCGCACCATGGTTGAAACTATCTCCTCGTATGTCCCCATTGCATGCGTTTTAACTGCATCTATCAGGTCAATGGCCATCTCTATCTCTTCATTGTGCAGAAAGTAGAACAAAGCCCGCTCTACACTTGTTTTGTACTCTGGTGTTTCTGAGAATAAGCCAAATACCAAAGAAAATGGAAGCGCCTTTGAGAGACACAGAAGCAGCAAAATAGGGAAGATTGATTCCTTCACAAGATTCTCTTTTACAGTGTAGAGAGTGCCTGTATCAGGGTCTATCCAGAAGGGCAGCCCTGCCGATTCAGCAGCCTGCTTCTTAGAGCTCTCTGCATAGGAAAATGGCCTTTCAATACGCACTAGAGGAACAACCACCATCCCGTGCTCCCAAAAGATAAACACACTGCTTGAGGATACACCAAATACCAGATAAAGGCTGTTCTTTTTTGCAGCTGATGTAACCTGAATGCCTGTTGTGATGTATGGTTTTTCTACCTTTTCTTCTAGAGTAAAATCAGTAATCTGGTTTATGCATTGGGTTTCCATCCCTTTATGTGGAATTGCAGTGAGCTTTTTTATTTCCTTTGTGCTTATATTTACCTCTGTTATAAATAGCGAGAAAAGGGGTGTGGTTTGCTTGACAATATTCTCCTGCGAAAATATAATTACTTTCTCTTGCACAACCTCTATAGCAACAACTCCTTTGGAAAGTATAAGGCCCGGCAAGATGAATGCAAACTTAAAGGTTTTTGTGTAATGCGCAATTGTATTCTCCTTTTTTGAGATAAATACATGCTCCTCTGTTACAAACACATTTGCTGCTGTCATGTCAAATTCTATCTCAAAGCTTGAGTTCAGAACAAGCAGCTGCCCAGTTGTTGCCGAGAATAGATATGTGTACGCGTGTTTAGCCCAGATTCTTGATGGAGTGAACCCGTCTGGATACTTTTTAAACTGATTTCTGTACATAATCAGATCGTGGAAAGAAAGAACATGCCGCAGAGCCTTTTTGTCATAGAACAAAGAAATTATTGAGCTAGGCGCATACTCAATTGAAAGTGTGTACTTTCTCTCTGGAAGATACACCAATGCTCGGTCTGGATATAGAAAACAAAATCCTCTTGGGTATATTCTTTCAACACTAAAGAGTAGGTACTCAATAATCGCTGAGCTCTCAGGAATGTATGTGTACAGCTTCATTTCCTGTGCGCAGTAGTAGAACCCCTCAGCATCCCCATGACCAATGGTGAATACCTTTTGACCATGTATGTACACTGCAGGAGTGCACTTTCCTTTACTTTGTGCATCACTTCGAACAGACACACCTCTTTCCTGCAAAGGCTCTTCAAAAAGCTCCATCAGATCGCTTACGCTATATATGTGTTCTTCTTTATGCTGCTTGTTGAATATTTCAAGGTCGTATGTCTCTTTGTTTAGCGTAATGCATATATCACTCTTAGAAATGGATGAGTGAAACATAGAGGTGTGCAGGTGTAAATTTGGATATCTGTATATTTTCACGTATGTATATTTTTCTTCCGTGCTATATGTAATAAATACTGGTCCCTCTGTGAAAATAAGCTGGTCTGAAAAGAGATACTCTGCTGCTGGCTTCAATGGCATCTTTGTTTGTAAACTTTATTTTTACATTTATTGCTACGAACGAGAACATTCAGGTTGTATTTCCATGCGTAAAAAGTATATACAATATTCTCTGGCATTCACTCTCAACTTCTGAAAGACAGTGTACATAAATTCTTCTTTAATATATACGCGCAGAAACCCCATAGTGCTGCAGTAGTATTTGATAGAACTTCTATCTAAAGATAGAATATCCCAAAAGCCTCTCTAAAATTTATAATTCATGTGCTTTGTATAACAAACTGTGCATGTGCTTAAAAAGACTGAGATTGCGTAAAAATAAGCGGCATGGTGCCACTCAGATATTATCTGCTAATTATTCTGGCACTTCCATACATTAGCAAAATAAAATAAAATACCATTCTTAAGAATGGCAAGATTTCTTCGTGTCTATAAGTCATATCAGGCTATTATTATCTTATTTGCGCACTAAGCACATATTATTTATTATTCTGCATATAGAAATATTTATATACTACATTATTTTTAAAGAAAGCCCAAATCTGAACTGTACTATAGAAAATAGATGGATCTTTCTGAATATTTGCACTATAGCATAAATTCTTTCTTTATCTACTGATACATCATGTAACTACTTTTTATTTCTTGGAAGAATAAATCTGTCTAGCTTGTAATCAATATGTACTCTATACAAGTAATTAGAAATAAACAAAATTATTAGCAGAAAATGAGTTTAATAAGGAATAGGTTTATATAGTGCGAAAATAGTAGAAATCTTCTAATTTAGCTTATGTGGTAAAATAAATATTCTTTGAGCTAATTTTCTAATTAATAGTACATGTCTCTAGTGGCTCTATATATAGTAGTAGTTTTAAATAAATTTTTGTCTTTAGTTTTCTAGTCGACAACAGTACACCTATTCAGATGTCTGCTGGATTCTGCACTCACTATTTTTTAAAAAATATTTATGCTGCAATACTATAGTGATTTGCTTATTTCTGGCTTACAGGCAGTTTTAGCAACTGTTGTCAATAACACACTTCACATCTTTAAAAGCGCAACCACTGGACTGATACGCACATATGGGAATGAATCCTATCTAGATATTCTTTAAAATACTCAGAAAGAGCATGTGCAGTTCCTCACAATAAAAGCACTGTATAGGAGGCAAAGCATACATAGCCTACAGACAAAGCTGTAATTATTTGTGCTAATTATTTTCTAGAACTTATGTGAAGTGCAAATATTGTAATAAGCACATGTACTTAAACGGATTCTTGCATGTTTTTAAAGTGCACTACTCTGCAATCTTCTTTATAGGTGGTTTGCTGAAAATAAGGGTTATACTTCAGATCTGTATTTAGCCAATTCTCTTTCTGTTTTCTTAATATGCAAATTATTTGCTCAATAGTAAGTATAATCACATGACTAAGGGAAACCAGGGGTATTATATCACCGATAATTCACCCCTTTAAGCTTCTATTGGTGTTTATTGCAATTTTCTATTTTGATTCTCCTTAGCGAATTAGATATTTTCACATATATATAGACGAATATTCTAATTAATTATATGCAGAAGTATAGAGTTGTAACTTTTTTTGTAGTATTATGTGGGCTGAAAAACATTAAATCTAGTATGGGTATGCCCTGTAATAAAAACAATATAAGCGGTTGTGCCCAAAACCAATCACCAATGAATATAGAATGCTGTTATAAGGAAAATTGCAGTAGACCTGTTTTACAACAAGGAAACTGCGGTTATAAACCATCTTGTTTACAGGAAGATAAAAATAAAAGTTTGTGTGGTTCGGGTTCGAGTTCGGGTTCTGGTTGTGCAAATAGCAGCAAATCTGTCCATGGGAATAAACCAGAGGATAAAGCCCCTAAACATGACCATAAGCATGATCATAAGCATGGCCAGGGAGATGACCATAAACATGATCATAAGCACGATCATGACCACAAACATGGCCTGGGAGATGACCACAAACATGACCATAAGCATGAACATGGCCAAGGAGATGTTCATGACCATGATTTGGGGCCTTCAGCAGATTATAACAGCAAAAACCCATCAAATCCTTCGTATAACGAAGAATCACAGAGTGTGTCGCCAGACAATGAACCCGAAATAGGCAATGAGTATTCCTACTAGTAAAGGAAAACACACTGCCAAAAACTGGGCTTTTTCGGCATCTTCACATATAGAAAATGGATTTAACGCAGTTGCTAAACTATTTTCAAAGGGTCCTAAAGAACATTCCGACTATGGCATGTACTTATCATGACTCTGCTCTTACTTATTTAGATTATATTGTTATATTAAGTAATTACCTACCTAAGAGTCATACATTGGGGGTATATTATACAGTTAGATCAACTTTGGAATAAAGGATCTATGAATATTCAAAAATCAATAAATAGTAAACCTTGCATCTGAAGAACTAACAATTTTTAATTTGAGACAAACTCATATATGACTAGTAACTTCTAAGGAACAAATATTATGTATATAGAGATATTTTATATGCGTTTTCTCTTTATAGTTTATTATATTGTTCTGGCTATAGCTCTTTAGTTTTCAGCTAAATAATGCGCTTAAGCATGGCTTTTTTATTTTATGCTGCCAGTGGCTCTACTCGAAATTTCAAATAATTTTCCATCTTTAGTTTTCTTAGCTGGAAACATTTAAAATTTAAAGCTTACTAAAACATTCATAAATTTAAATGCTTTTAAAAAGTGTATTTTTTTTTCTAAAACCAAAAAGAATAAATGGCTGGATACTAAGACCAGCTAAATGCATTTATTTGCTTGTACTGTTGAAAACTTCTTTGGACTGCTTTTTTGGCAAAAAAATTATATCTGTAATATGACTCGTCTATTCTAAGATCAAAATCACAAAAAACGTCTGTTGTAAAGTAGGCTATCTGATTGGTCTATTTTACTATCTGAAACCCATGCGCTGTAAAGTGATTATGTAAGCATCAAAGTTCTGCAAAAAATAACGCATATATAGAGAAGCACACAAGCATGCTATGAAAGTCGAAAAGTATTTATTATATTTAATATTATATGGTCTATGCAAGCAGAAAGCAATAGCAGGAAGTGCGTTTCCAAGTACAGATGACATATTTAGTAAATTTTCAAGCCAAAACATGCCAAATGGCGCAACCATGACTAAAACAACATCTCAAAGCGAACAAAACAGTAGTAGTGAAAAAACCATGAACAGTCAGATGACGAATGGTGTGTATACAAGCGCCAACGCAACAGAAAAAAATACACAGCATAACAAACAAGCAAACAGTCAAGAGCAGGTGACAAACAACAATGGAAAACAGGAGTTTACCTCAAGTGCAAGCTCTAAAGAACACCAGAGCGCTAAGGAGACAAAACTTTCAATGGGTGTGCAAACCCCGCAGGCTTCCAGTAATCAAGCAGCAAGCCAGGCAGCAAACCAAAAATCAACAGCAAGTCAGTCAGCGAGTCAAGCATCAACAGCAAGCCAGGCAGCAAGCCAAGCAGCAACAAAAAGCCAGGCAGTCAGTCAAAAATCAACAGCAAACAAAGCAGCAGCAAGTCAAACAGCGAGTCAGGCATCAACAGCAAGTCAGGCAGCGAGTCAAAAATCATCAAGCCAAGCATCAACAGCAAGTCAGTCAGCAAGTCAAAAATCATCAAGCCAAGCATCAACAGCAAGTCAACAGAAAATAAATCAGATAAATCAGTTAGGGCAAAATCTCTCAGCAAAATCTGAAAAGAGCGCTAAACTCCAACAGGTAAATCAAGCAAACCAGGCATCATCAGCAAGTCAATCTTCAAGTAAAACCGCGAGTCAATCAGCAAGTCAATCAAGTCAAAGTACAGGAATGCAGCAAAGTAAAGCTGCATCTGCTCAAAGATCCGCACCTTCATCAAGCCAAGCAGCTGCAGCTAGTCATAGCGCAAGCATGCAAAGCAGTAGCCAGAGCGCGAGCTCAAAGAAATCTGAAGCGAGTTCGTCATCAAAGCAAACAGCTGTAACTAGTGGCGGTAGCGGAGCGAGTATGCAAAGCAG